AACTCTGGCTTCAGCTCAGCAGTTCCGCTTACCTTCTTATTTTTTCTTTCAACTTTTGGAATTCCTAACCCTGTAGTTGGGTGCTGTCTCGGTACTCACAGGGGTTGCAAATATTGCCTCTAAATATAACTGCTAAAATTGTTGTAGTTTTCAAGATATGAGGTTTTTTCTATGATTTTTCTAAAATTTTCTGTAAACTTAGATTTAGAAAATTTCACAAAGTTTAAATATCCCAAGCCTGTAATTGGGTGCTGCCAGGGTTCTCCCAGGAGTTGTAAATGTTGCCTCCTAATAACCTACTTAAATATTTGTAGTTTTCGAGATTTGGTGGAAAATTGGAATTTAAAAAAAGTTCATAAAATTTGAAATTACCAACCCTGTAATTGAGTGCTCTCAGAGTACAATAAAAGCCTGCAGATCTGGTTTCCAATATATGCGGTTTTTCTTGAGTTGTCAAAAATTCGAAGCACCGGAGGTGCGTAACACGCTAGTTGCGTTTAATTTTGTCCACTAGTGTATCTGATAGACCCATAGCCTGATATCAGTTCAATTTTTTTTAGTTTTTTTCAACTCCGGTTTATTCTGTGCAAGTGTTAATGTTCTCAATCTGGTTGGTTTGATTCCCAACCATCTGACTCTCTTTTCTTCTATCCACCTTATACTTTACTCTTCCATATCCAGAAAGTTCCTTGGATTTTGACTGGAATATGTGATGAAAAGACTCTTGACTAACCTCGGTTACAAAGATACTTTTGACCTTCTGATTAATAATATTCAAATAACTGGAGTCTTCAAATGATTGCCTAGAATTAACTTCTGTCGCATTGCCTAGAATTTTACAAAACTTAAACGAAATTTTTTCAAAATTTGAAATTCCCAACCCTGTATTTGGGGGCTATCAGAGTCCTCTCAGGGTTACAAATCATGCCTCCAATTATGAATGCTCAAATCTTTGTAGTCATCCAGATCCGGCTTTTTAGTGATTTTTTCATAGTTTTTCAGAAAACTTATGTTGAATTTTTTTCAAAATTGGGAACTCCTAACCATGTATTTGGGGGCTATCAGAGTCCTCTCAGGGATTGCAGACAATGGCTCCAATTATGACTGCTCGAATCCTTGTAGTTATCCAGATCCGGCGTTTTCAGTGATTTTTTCAAAGTTTTTCAGAAAACCTAATTGTGACGGCTCAAATCCTTGTAGTTTTCGAAATATGACGTTTTCTGTGATTTTTTCAAAAAATTTTTTTACAAAACTTAAACGAAATTTTTTCTTCAAAACTTGAAATTCTGAACCATGAATTTGGGTGCTATCAAAATACTCTCAGGGGTTGCGAGCCTTGCTTTTAATTATGACTGCTCAAATCCTTGTAGTTTTTGAGATATTACGTTTTTTTGTGATTTTTTCAAAAAGTGTTTCAAAAAGTTAAATTAACATTTTTTCCAAGTTTAAAATTTCTTAACCTGTAGCTGGATGCTGTCAGAGTACTCTCAGGCGTTGCCAATCTTGCCTTTAAACATGATTGCTCAAGTCCTCGTAGTTTTTGAGATATAACGTTTTTTGTGATTTTTTCAAAAAAAAATTTACAAAACTTAAACGAAATTTTTTCAAAATTTGAAATTCCCAACCCTGTATTTGGGGGCTATCAGATTCCTCTCAGGGGTTACGAATCATGCCTCCAATTATGAATGCTCAAATCTTTGTAGTTATCCAGATCCGGCTTTTTAGTGATTTTTTCATAGTTTTTCAGAAAACTTAAATTGAATTTTTTTCAAAATTTGGAACTCCTAACCATGTATTTGAGGGCTATCAGAGTCCTCTCAGGGATTGCAAACAATGGCTCCAATTATGACTGCTCAAATCCTTGTAGTTTTCCAGATTCGGCGTTTTCAGTGATTTTTTCAAAGTTTTTCAGAAAAAAAAAACTTAAATTTAATTGTTTTTATAAGAAATTTAAAATGTTAATTCAAATGTTGTCGCACATTTTGTGCATCATCAGGATTAAAATTTTTTACAATAATTACGCAACGATCAAAGATCTGAAAAATGAGAAACATGTCTAAAAAGGCTCTAAAAATTTTTAACCAATCAAATTTGAACAACTGTAATTACATAACATTTTCCTGTAAATTTCTGAGATTTGTTAGTTTTTTGTTCTTTCATGGTTATAAAATTTAGATTTGGGAATATTTTTGATTCTGACAAGTCAATTTTTTAACTTTTAGCTATGTTGTACATAGACTATAATTTAATGTTAATTCCCGGCTCCTGAATTCATCGCGTGTGTTGATCTTCGGCCTCTCCCTCCAAATATACAAAGCCTCTAGTGTCAGTAGCTTATGAGTATTGACTGTTTGGTCTATAAACTCTGGCTTCAGCTCAGCAGTACCGCCTACCTTCTTATTTTTTTTCTTCAATTTTTGGAATTCCTAACCCTGTAGTTGGGTGCTGTCTCGGTACTCACAGGGGTTGCAAATATTGCCTCTAAATATAACTGCTAAAATTGTTGTATTTTCAAGATATGAGGTTTTTTCTATATTTTCTCTAAAATTTTCAGTAAACTTAGATTTAGAAAATTTCACAAAGTTTAAATATCCCAAGCCTGTAATTGGGTGCTGCCAGGGTTCTCCCAGGAGTTGTAAATCTTGCCTCCTAATATGACTACTTAAATATTTGTAGTTTTCGAGATTTGGCGGAAAATTGGAATTCAAAAAAAGTTCATAAAATTTGAAATTACCAACCCTGTAATTGAGTGCTCTCAGAGTACAATAAAAGCCTGCACATCTGGTTTCCAATATATGCGGTTTTTCTTGAGTTGTCAAAAATTCGAAGCACCGGAGGTGCCTAACACGCTAGTTGCGTTTAATTTTGTCCACTAGTGTATCTGATAGACCCGTAGCCTGATATCAAGTCAATTTTTTTAGTTTCTTTCAACTCCGGTTTATTCTGTGCAAGTGTTAGTGTTCTCAATCTGATTGGTTTGATTCTCAACCATCTGACTCTCTTTTCTTCTATCCACCTTATACTTTAGTCTTCCATATCCATAAAGTTCCTTGGATTTTGACTGGAATATGTGATGAAAGAACTCCTGACTAACCTCGGTTACCATGATACTTTTGACCTTCTGATTAATAATATTCAAATAACTGGAGTCTTCAAATGATTGCCTAGAATTAAGTTCTGTCGCATTGCCTAGAATTTTACAAAACTTAAACGAAATTTTTTCAAAATTTGAAATTCCCAACCCTGTATTTGGGGGCTATCAGAGTCTTCTCAGGGTTACGAATCATGCCTCCAATTATGAATGCTCAAATCTTTGTAGTTATCCAGATCCGGCTTTTTAGTGATTTTTTCAAAGTTTTTCAGAAAACTTAAATTTAATTGTTTTTATAAAAAATTTAAAATGTTAATTCAAATGTTGTCGCACATTTTGTGCATCATCAGGATTAAAATTTTTTACAATAATTACACAACGATCAAAGATCTGAAAAATGAGAAACATTGTCTAAAAAGGCTCTAAAACTTTTTAACCAATCAAATTTGAACAACTGTAATTACATAATATAATTACATAATCATGAATAACATTTTCCTGTAAAGTTCGGAGATTTGTTAGTTTTTTGTTCTTTCATGGTTATAAAATTTAGATTTGGGAATAATTTTGATTCTGACATGTCAATTTTTTAACTTTTAGCCATGTTGTACATAGACTATAATTTTAGTGTTAATTCCCGGCTCCTGAATTCATCGCGTGTGTTGATCTTCGGCCTCTCCCTGCAAATATGCAAAGCCTTCAGTGTCAGTAGCTTATGAGTGTTGGCTGTTTGGTCTGTAATCTCTGGCTTCAGCTCAGCGGTACCGCCTACCTTCTCATTTTCTCTTCAATTTTTGGAATTCCTAGCCCTGTAGTTGGGTGCTGTCTCGGTACTCACAGGGGTTGCAAATATTGCCTCTAAATATAACTGCTAAAATTGTTGTATTTTCAAGATATGAGGTTTTTTCTATATTTTCTCTAAAATTTTCAGTAAACTTAGATTTAGAAAATTTCACAAAGTTTAAATATCCCAAGCCTGTAATTGGGTGCTGCCAGGGTTCTCCCAGGAGTTGTAAATCTTGCCTCCTAATATGACTACTTAAATATTTGTAGTTTTCGAGATTTGGCGGAAAATTGGAATTCAAAAAAAGTTCATAAAGTTTGAAATTACCAACCCTGTAAATGAGTGCTCTCAGAGTAAAATAAAAGCCTGCAGATCTGGTTTCCAATATATGCGGTTTTTCTTGAGTTGTCAAAAATTCGAAGCACCAGAGGTGCGTAACACGCTAGTTGCGTTTAATTTTGTCCACTAGTGTATCTGATAGACCCGTAGCCTGATATCAGGTCAATCTTTTTAGTTTCTTTCAACTCCGGTTTATTCTGTGCAAGTGTTAGTTTTCTCAATCTGGTTGGTTTGATTCCCAACCATCTGACTCTCTTTTCTTCTATCCACCTTATACTTTACTCTTGCATATCCAGAAAGTTCCTTGGATTTTGACTGGAATATGTGATGAAGGGACTCCTGACTAACCTCGGTTTCTATGATACTTTTGACCTTCTGATTAATAATATTCAAATAACTGGAGTCTTCAAATGATTGCCTAGAATTAACTTCTGTCGAAACCAATGAAAATATAAACTTAAGTAGACATTTTTTTCTACTTCTAGTTTTTGTGCTGGTGCGAAGCTCCTCTTCTTCTCTGTGTTGAAACATTCGTTGAAAAGATTGGCCAGACGGTAAGCTCGAAACGAAACCAGGTCACTTGAAGGACACTTGCTGTAAGGTTGTGTTCCTTAACAATGTCAAACTTCGGAATCTATTGCAATGAAAATCTATCATTCCATAAAAACAACTCGTCTACTTCGGAGCTACAGTTCATTGCGGTTTCTTAACTGCCCTAATATTTTGATTGATTTTTCGATTTGGATGAATTTTTCTACTTGTTAGGAAGAAATGGTGTTTTTTTTCAGCTCGTGAATGACTGACCATCGCCAGGTAGCTGAATATTTAGAGACTGAGCTTAAGAGCTTTGATGCTGAAGTTGGTGATCTCATCAAATTATGGCGCAGCCAATGTGGTTAGTAAAAAGACTTTGTACCTTTCACGATATGGCCATTTTAGAAGAAATGGTAAATTTCACGCTCTGTGGCTGAAATGCTCAATTAATTGAAAGTTTAAATAAAATCAGGAGCTCTATACTCGGAGCTCCGGAGCTCTATACTATGTATAAGGGGGATACAGATCGCTGTGCAAAGTGCAATTTATCGACAACTCTATATGCGCTATTGTAGAAGAAGGTCGGATATTTAGAAGGTTTTGTTTTTGCTCTTTCACACATGTTCTTTCACAAGGCATGAATGAAAAATGAAATATTAGAACGTATGAATGAAAAAAAGACATCATTTGCATAGTTTTGCGCACTTTTCCGGGATCTTTCACAATTTTCCGGCATCTTTCCTTCAGAAAGAGCAAAAACATACTCTTCAACAGTTAGAACATAGTTGAAGATGGCCGCGGGCAAAAGGGCCGCCATCGGCGTGCCCTCAGGCCGGGGTCTTTTTCCCTCGGGCATCTTTCAACTATGTTCTAATTACTACGAAGAAGATAAATTAACATTACGACGATGCATTTAATACTGATATATGACTTCATTGTTACAATGATGCAGTTTGCTGATATAGCGCAGCCAATGTGGTTAGTAAAAAGACTTTGTACCTTTCACGATATGGTCATTTTAGAAGAAATGGTAAATTTCACGCTCTGTGGCTGAAATGCTCAATTAATTGAAAGTTTAAATAAAATCAGGAGCTCTATACTCGGAGCTCCGGAGCTCTATACTATGTATAAGGGGGATACAGATCGCTGTGCAAAGTGCAATTTATCGACAACTCTATATGCGCTATTGTAGAAGAAGGTCGGATATTTAGAAGGTTTTGTTTTTGCTCTTTCACACATGTTCTTTCACAAGGCATGAATGAAAAATGAAATATTAGAACGTATGAATGAAAAAAAGACATCATTTGCATAGTTTTGCGCACTTTTCCGGGATCTTTCACAATTTTCCGGCATCTTTCCTTCAGAAAGAGCAAAAACATACTCTTCAACAGTTAGAACATAGTTGAAGATGGCCGCGGGCAAAAGGGCCGCCATCGGCGTGCCCTCAGGCCGGGGTCTTTTTCCCTCGGGCATCTTTCAACTATGTTCTAATTACTACGAAGAAGATAAATTAACATTACGACGATGCATTTAATACTGATATATGACTTCATTGTTACAATGATGCAGTTTGCTGATATAGCGCTGGATTGGCCCTATGCAGCTTGTGCATTGACCGTTACCACACTGAAGGGCCCCTTTTGTAATTTGCCTTTACTTAAAAAAAATAACTGAAAATTTAAATAACATAACCCTCATTCATATAGTAATTAAATGAATTTATTCATTTTTTTTCGGATTCGTGGTTTCCGTCCTATATTTCGTCGGTTCCTTTTCTGTTTGTTTATATGCCACATATATTATTTGGAACGGTTTTTCGGCCTACTTTCTAAGTAATGGGTTCTATGTTTCTTAAACAATTTTTACTATATTTGAAGTTTCTGTAATTTGTAATTTTGGCAAGTTTTATGTTTTAAAATTATTTATTAAACAGTTTCTGTTTAAGTAACATTGGTTTGGTTAACCTATGCTGTGTAGTTTCGAGGGCAAAATATATTCTTATGCTGTTATGTGTTTCAGTACAGATGAGCCTCAGTGGTTGCTCATTAAATAATCCCAATGCTTTTTAAGGCTGTTAATGAACTTCATTCGATACAAACATGAAATTTTTGTAAGGTTATCAAATAACTTTGATAACCTTTAATAATTTAAAAATTTTTCTTTTAAGTAACCCTTCCAGCTTTTGTTATTAAAATATTTTCCGACTTGTGTCTCTTTTTTGTTTAACAACTTCAAGTCTCCCTTCCCCTTGGCTTAGAGGTAACTTGGTTCGAGTCCCAGCCTTGTTTTTTGTGTATGTTTGGAATTGAATTTTTCTCGGGTTTGAAATTGTATTTTGGCGTAAGGTTTATCTGCTTATATTCTGTCGACTTATTTGCCATTATCGCGGATTATTCTCGTGCTGTTAGCATTTTTTGTTGAAGTTGCAAGTATTGTTGATTACTCGTGCAAGTTTTAGCGAGGGTAGTGTAATAGTACGACAATTGTTTTTTCCAAACTAAGAGGCAAATATTGATGCGAGTTTTGGGGCACATTTACGGCTTTTTCATAGCATTTGCTTTGAAGTTCAATTAATTATAAGTTAACACAGCTGTTGCATTTTTAATTCAACAGATGAACCAAAAAAAGGTATTTGTTTCAAACAACAGTACAATGATAAAAATCGTTTTCAGAAGTTTTCAATTCAATTTATATTTCAATTTTTTGAAATGCGTAATTTATTACCCTTGCGATAAGCAAGGGTATTGCAATCGAGCACTAGTTTTTTTCCGTAAACAGCTTTGTTCACAGAATGATAATTAAAGGTGGAATGCTAAACTGGACCCGAATAGAAGGAGTTTACCACTTCTGACACGCTTGAATTCTTGAAATTTGAATAAATCCACCATAATTTAAATAGTAACTAGCTTCGAATTTTTTCGACATTTCATGAGAAACCGCATATATTGGAAGCAAGATCTGCCAACTTATAGTGTTCTCTGACTGCACTCAATTGCAGGGTTGGTAATTTCAAACTGTTAAATTTTCAAATTTATTTTGAAATAGCATAAAAACGATCTCTCGAAAACTTAATGGGCCTCTGGAGAAATTTGGAGGCCAGATTTGCAGCCACTGAGAGTCCCTGAGAGCACCATACTATAGGGTTAAAAATTTCAAATTTCGTGAAATTTTTTTAAACCCGTTTCCCCGAAAAAAAATGAAAAAATCATAAAAAACCTCTTGTGTCGGAAACTAAAAGGATTTGAGCATTCATATTCAGATGCAAGGTTTGAGACGCCTGGGTGTACGCTGACACTAAGGTTGTGTCTTCATCAAGTTGGTAGTTTCAAATTTTGTGAATTTCTTTGTAGATTAGTTCTTTGAGAAATTTGAAAAAAATCAGAAAAAACGCCACATCTCGGAAATTAAAAGCAATTGAGCAGCCGCATGTAGCAAGATTTGTAACTCTTGAGAGTACCCTCACAGCACTCAACTACAAACTTAGGAATTTCAAATTATGAAATAAAAATTATTTAAATTTTCTGAATTTTTCTTTTTAAAACACAAAAAGTATCATATCTCAAAAACTACAAGGATTTGAACAGTCATATTTGGAAGCAAGATTTGGAATTCTTAGAAAATTCTGACAACACCCAACTACAGGGTTGAGAATTTCAATGTTTTGAAAAATAATTAATTGAACTTTTCTAAAAAAAACTTTTAAAAAATCACAAACGTCGTATCTCGAAAACTACAAGGATTTGAGCAGTCATATTTGGAGGCAAGATTCGTAGTCCATGATAGTATTCTGACAGGACCTTACTTCAGGGTTGGGAATTTCAGATTTTGAAGAAAAAAATTATTTTAAGTTTTCTGAAAACTTTTGGAAAAATTGTCATATCTCGAAAACTACAAGGATTTAAGCAGTCATATTTGGAGGCAAGATTTGCAGTCCTTGAGAGTACTCTGACAGGACCCAACTAGAGGGTTGGGAATTTCAGATTTTGAAGAAAAAAATTAATTTAAGTTTTCTGAAATTTTTTTGGAAAAAATCACAAAAATCGTCTTATCTCGTTAACGAAAAAGATTTGGGTAGTCATATTTGGAGGCAATATTCGTAATCCATGATAGTACTCTGACAGGACCTTACTTCAGGGATGGGAATTTCAGATTTTGAAAAAAAATTATTTTAAGTTTTCTGAAAACTTTTCGAAAAATCGTCATATCTCGAAAACTACAAGGATTTGAGCAGTCATATTTGGAGGCAAGATTCGCAATTCTTGACTACTCTGACAGTACCCAACTACAGGGTTGGGAACTTCAAGTTTTGTAAAAAAAAAAATTAATTCAAGTTTTCTGAAACTTTTGAAAAAAAATCACGAAAATCATCACATCTCGAAAACTACAAGGATTTGAGCAGTCATATTTGGAGGCAAGATTTGCAGTTCTTGAGAGTACTCTGACAGGACCCAACTACAGGGTTGGGAATTTCAGATTTTGAAGAAAAAAATTAATTTAAGTTTTCTTAAATTTTTTTTGAAAAAATCACAAAAATCGTCTTATCTCGTTAACTAAAAGGATTTGGGCATCCAAAATTGGAGGCCGAATTCGCAACCATTGGGGAATCCAGACAGCATCCCATTTTTTGGCTGCATATTTTAAACTCGGTGAAATAACAACTAAAATCAAACTGGAAAAACGAAAAAAAATTCTTAACCATTGCAATATACGATATAGCCTAAACATGCAAAAATAATACGTTGAAAAAGCTTAAACATGGCAAGATAGTGAAGCCCGCATTTAAATATATAATAGATTGAGTCAAGGCTGTTTCAGGTTGTAATGTATTTTTCAAAAAAATCTTAATTTCAGGTTCGTGTTTTTCGTCCTAGTTTCTGTCGTTTCCTTTTTTCAAATGCACACTTTTTTTATCTGGTAGGGTTTTTTTTCGCTTACTTTTTATAGCATCGGTTTTGTTCCAATTTAAGCCGTTTTGTACCATAATTGAAAGTTATGTAGTTACTACGTCTGAATTTGCGTAATTTTTTTCATGGTTTTTCTTAAAATTATTTAAACAGTTCATTATTTCGATTTAAGCAACTTATGCGTATCTTGCGTAATTTTGAGCGCAAAGTATATTCGTATATGATTACGTGCTTCAGTATGGGTGGATCGTAAAGTTTTCAAACACTTCATGAAATTTTTTGACAACAGTTTTGTTTTCGACTCAACAGATTTCGACCCAAAAGTTGTTGCCTTTGTTGCGGCCAGGTGAAGTTTTTGTAGCTGTAGCTTTTCAAAGTTATTTTTCAAAGTAACTTTTTCGACTTAGTTTTTCAGATTTTTTTTTGACTTCGTATCTTTTTACACTGTCTAAATTGTAGCGAAATGCTTATTTTACAAGCCAGTTCAATGCTGGTTGTTGTGCTCTTGTGCTCTGCCACAGGTGTTCATCAAAATGAGTTTCAGTTTGAGTGTGAGTCGATGGCTTTGTGTATTGCAAGTGGTTCGAAGCACAGCTTCGCCTCTGGTTACATATTTTGGCTACAAATTATGGCATGATTTGAGCATTCATATTCAGATGCAAGATTTGAGACGCCTGGGTGTACGCTGACACTAAGGTTGTGTCTTCATCAAGTTGGTAGTTTCAAATTTTTTGAATTTCTTTGTAGATTAGTTCTTTGAGAAGTTTGAAAAAAATCAGAAACAACGCCACATCTCGGAAATTAAAAGCAATTGAGCAGCCGCATGTAGGAAGATTTGTAACTCTTGAGAGTACCCTCACAGCATTCAACTACAAACTTAGGAATTTCAAATTATGAAATAAAAATTATTTAAATTTTCTGAATTTTTCTTTATAAATCACAAAAAGTATCATATCTCGAAAAAACTACAAGGATTTGAACAGTCATATTTGGAAGCAAGATTTGTAATCCTTGAGAGTAATCTGATTGGACCCAACTAACGGGTTGAGAATTTCAGATTTTGCAAAGGAAATTGATGTAAGTTTTTGAAATTTTTTGAAAAAGTCAAAAAAAAAATCGTCATATCTCAAAAACTACAAGGGTTTGAACAGTCATATTTGGAGATAAGATTTGGAATTCTTAGAAAATTCTGACAGCGCCCAACTACAGGGTTGAGAATTTCAATGTTTTGAAAAATAATTAATTGAACTTTTCTAAAAAAAACTTTTAAAAAATCACAAACGTCGTATCTCGAAAACTACAAGGATTTGAGCAGTCATATTTGGAGGCAACATTTGTAGTCCATGATAGTACTCTGACAGGACCTTACTTCAGGGTTGGGAATTTCAAATTTTGAAGAAAAAAATTATATTAAGTTTCTGAAAACTTTTGGAAAAATCGTCATATCTCGAAAAGTACAAGGATTTGAGTAGTCATATTTGGAGGCAAGATTCGCATTCCTTGATAGTACTCTGACAGTATCCAACTACAGGTTTGGGAACTTCAAGTTTTGTAAAAAAAAATTAATTCAAGTTTTCTGAAACTTTTGAAAAAAAAAATCACGAAAATCATCACATCTCGAAAACTACAACAATTTGAGCAGTCATATTTGGAGGCAAGATTTGCAGTCCTTGAGAGTACTCTGACAGGACCCAACTAGAGGGTTGGGAATTTCAGATTTTGAAGAAAAAAATTAATTTAAGTTTTCTGAAATTTTTTTGGAAAAAATCACCAAAATTGTCTTATCTCGTTAACTAAAAGGATTTGGGCAGTCATATTTGGAGGCAATATTCGTAATCCATGATAGTACTCTGACAGGACCTTACTTCAGGGTTGGGAATTTCAGATTTTGAAGAAAAAAAATTATTTTAAGTTTTCTGAAAACTTTTGGAAAAATCGTCATATCTCGAAAACTACAAGGATTTGAGCAGTCATATTTGGAGGCAAGATTCGCAATCCTTGACTACTCTGACAGTACCCAACTAAAGGGTTGGGAACTTCAAGTTTTGTAAAAAAAAATTTAATTCAAGTTTTCTGAAACTTTTGAAAAAAAAATCACGAAAATCATCACATCTCGAAAACTACAAGGATTTGAGCAGTCATATTTGGAGGCAAGATTTGCAGTTCTTGAGAGTACTCTGACAGGACCCAACTACAGGGTTGGGAATTTCAGATTTTGAAGAAAAAAATTAATTTAAGTTTTCTGAAATCTTTTTTTTTGAAAAAATCACAAAAATCGTCTTATCTCGTTAACTAAAAGGATTTGGGCATCCAAAATTGGAGGCCAAATTCGCAACCATTGGGGAATCCAAGCAGCATCCCATTTTTTGGCTGCATATTTTAAACTCGGTGAAATAACAACTAAAATCAAACTGGAAAAACGAAAAAAAATTCTTAACCATTGCAATATACGATATATCCTAAACATGCAAAAATAATACGTTGAAAAAGCTTAAACATGGCAAGATAGTGAAGCCCGCATTTAAATATATAATAGATTGAGTCAAGGCTGTTTCAGTTTGTAATGTATTTTTCAAAAAATCTTAATTTCAGGTTCGTGTTTTTCGTCCTAGTTTCTGTCGTTTCCTTTTTTCAAATGCACACTTTTTTTATCTGGTAGGGTTTTTTTTCGCTTACTTTTTATAGCATCGGTTTTGTTCCAATTTAAGCCGTTTTGTACCATAATTGAAAGTTATGTAGTTACTACGTCTGAATTTGCGTAATTTTTTTCATGGTTTTTCTTAAAATTATTAAAACAGTTCATTATTTCGATTTAAGCAACTTATGCGTATCTTGCGTAATTTTGAGCGCAAAGTATATTCGTATATGATTACGTGCTTCAGTATGGGTGGATCGTAAAGTTTTCAAACACTTCATGAAATTTTTGACAACAGTTTTGTTTTCGACTCAACAGAATTCGACCCAAAAGTTGTTGCCTTTGTTGCGGCCAGGTGAAGTTTTTGTAGCTGTAGCTTTTCAAAGTTATATTTCAAAGTAACTTTTTCGACTTAGTTTTTCAGATTTTTTTTTGACTTCGTATCTTTTTACACTGTCTAAATTGTAGCGAAATGCTTATTTTACAAGCCAGTTCAATGCTGGTTGTTGTGCTCTTGTGCTCTGCCACAGGTGTTCATCAAAATGAGTTTCAGTTTGAGTGTGAAAATTACGAGTCGATGGCTTTGTGTATTGCAAGTGGTTCGAAGCACAGCTTCGCCTCTGGTTACATATTTTGGCTTTCTTCTTACTAATTTTTTACATCCAAAATTAGTGTGGATTTATTTTTTGTTACATTCCAAATTTTTACATGCAATGATGTGTCTGTTTGTGATTGGTGACTTTTTCGCTGCATGGCGTTGGCAATTTATTAACAATTTTGGCTTCTTTATTTGTAGCTAGTGTTTGTAATTTGTTGAGGGCCTGTGGAACAGATGCGAGGACAGGGGACTTTAATTGTCCTGGTCGTAGGATCGAATCCTCCTCTGCAAAAGTTTTACATTTCAAAGCTTATTTTTATATTTTTTCTTAATTCACTTTTTAGTAGTTTTCGCGCTATTGTTTTCAAAATTTTTTATGCTTGCGACGCTACTTGTATAGCTATCGTGGATCCTTTTTGGGCGTTAAATGAAATTATCCCTGGCAGAAATTTTTGGCTGAGTCTCAGCTGATTGGATGTCGGCTTCAATTCTGTTTGCTTATGCTTATTCACTGATTTTTTTTCCTTGAAACATCCGGTAGTTCTTTTGAGATCGATAGGACTCTTGATTGCACACTTTTTGAATGCCAAATTTTAACCCCGCTAGGACCTTCTTGGAGAAACTTAACTTTTTTCAAACATAAAAGTTGCTTTTTAAGAGTAAAGAACGTAGTGAAAACTCTTATATAGGTCTTAAAGGAAAATAGTATTAAAATTTGTTCGCGTCTAATTTCGATTTTTCGAGGTTTGACTTTCGATTTCCTTTCAAGTTCAGTGCATTTCCCTTGTCAAAAGGAAGCAAACTCCACTATCGAACAGCAAAAGTGTAAAGGTCACGAAAAACGTGATCGACTTCTAGTTTCGAAAGTGGAATTTAATTATCAGATTTCCGAGCTAAATAAAGTCTTTACGTATTGATCCAGTTTTCTCAAATTGGGTTAGTTTCATGAAAAATTGTCAATTATAAACTTCTAGAAAGAGGTTGAAGGCCATCTTTTTTTCTTTGAAGTTCGAAGACGGAGATTTTTTCAAAAAACAATTTTTTTCTGTTTCTTTGCGTTGTTAACTCTTTTCCAACTTTCAGTTGGCTTTGTTTTTGTTTTAAGTTTTTTTTTCGCGTTTTTTACTTCTTCTTTCAATTGTAACATCTTTTGAAGTTATTTTTGCTAATTTTTTACCATCACTGTGCACTCATCCTATAAATATTGCTTAGCAAGTGGTGCGAAGCTCAGCTTCGCCACTCTGTTTTGACTCAGTTCTTTTCTTTTTCTCGTCTGTGCGTGTGTGTATGTGTATATATGTGTGTGTGTGTGTGTGTGAGTGTGTGTGTGTTGTGTTGTGTTGTGTGTGTGTGTGTGTGTGTGTGTGTGAGAGAGAGAGAGAGAGAGAGAGAGAGATAGATAGAGAGAGAGAGAAAGATAGAAAGAAAGAGAAAGAGAGAGAGAGAGAGAGAGAGAGAGATGCAAGTTCACTAAGTAACTACTACGTATATCATATATGTTCTATTTTTAGCAGAGGCTTTGCAGTGCATCGACACCAGTTTGGAAGAAAAGGCATTGATGATCGGATCGCTGGAGCGTCGAATACAACTTGCAGATAAATTGGATGGTCGTTGTGAAAAGTAAGAAAATCATTCAAATTTTGTTATGCCCTTTCAACAACTTCATCTCATTTTTTTAGTCCCTTCAGTTTTTATCGTACTTTTGCCTTATAAAAGCAGTTATTCTGTCGAGGCGTTATCAGCTGCATTTTAAAGACCAAGGATTTCTTCAACGTCGTATAAATGTTCAGACCATTTGAAAAATGTGGAGGAACTTTGTATTCGGGTGTGTTTCATTTTTCTTATTATTTTTTGATTTTCCACGTAAAATCAAGTAAATCAATAATAATCGGAATGGATCGATTGATATATCATATTAAAGCCCTTCAGTCGTGATTTGAACGACATTGAAAAATTTTGAAAAGATTTCGCAGTGTCGAGAAAAACCAGTTTGAAATTTTTATTTATGGTCTAATTTCAAGCTAATTTGTTGAGCGTGCAGGCTTACAATAGCCTATTATTGCTTAATTTTAGCCATAAAAACTTAATTTTACTTGAGTAAAGTTATTTTTGGAGTTTTAGCGCCAATTTTTGCTTCAAAAATTTCTGCAAATTTGAATTTTTTTAACGATTTTTTTCCCGTTTTCCAAGTCGTTTTTCTACAAAAATTATTTTCCAATTGGCTTACATTGCTATGATTGTGGAATATGCTTCAGTTCTGCTTTTTTGTTCAGATCTTATTATCACACCGCACAGAAAAAACGACGCTAATTTAAAAAAAATGGTATTGCTTGCACAGTAACCGGTTATCCTTGTTTCAAATTAGAATCTATTGAAATAGTATCTCATATATTTGCTTAATTAATGCGAGTTCAATACTGCCTGGCTCCTATCAGTAAAGTGTGTGCCTATGCATCAAATAATAAGTTACACTGGTAAGATTATAGAATCTAAATTTGTCCAGAATTAAATTATCTAAATATTAAAAAAAAAATTTACGAATATTCTTTAAATTCTAATGCAATATTGTATCAAAAATGATTTTCAAAGATTTTAAATTGCGTATTTGTTTAAAATGCATATGCAACATATTATTGATTTTCAAAAATTGCATGCTCAGAGTGAGATTCACAGGTAACTTTGGAGAGAGGGTGGCTATAATATGCGGATGAACCTATAACTAAGAGCTCATAACAGTCAGAATAATATGCTTCGTGATCAATTACCATCGTTGTGTTTTAGTGTGAGAATTTATAGACAGTCTCTAACGGATGCGTTGAGCAAGAGCTATACTGACAAAATTAAGATGCTGAAAACAAGAGGCAACCTTCAAACAAGTCTGGGAGAATTCGACGAAATGCTACGTCTAGATTTCTCGAAAAGGATAACTGTTCGCAACCTGCTGAAACTCATGGAGTCCAAACCAGAAAACTATCAGCATATATGGAACGCCGTAATGGCCGAATTATTGCGTAAGTAAAAACTTATGATTTGAAAATTACCGAAGTAGGTAAGAGTTAACGTATAATTTATTGTCGAACTTTTTATGTATGCGTGTTTTTATTTTCTTGGCAAATGTTGTTACCCCAAGAAACTAAGAGAAAACTTGTCCAAAAGGCTGGTTTGTAAGTGTAAAAGAACGAAGTAGTTGTAACTTATAGAGGTCGTGATGATTTTTTCCATGCTCATGCTTGGTTTTGTGTGGTTTGGTTTTTGATTTCTTTTCAAGTTGTGTTCATTTTCTTTGTTAAAAGGAAGGCAAACTCCCCTATCGAACAGCAAAAAGAGCTAAAGGTTACAAAAATTGTGAATAACTTTTAGCTTCAAAAATTGTTACAGTTTTCTCTAAATAGGATAAGCTTCAACAAAAGTGTCCTTTTAAATATTTTCAAAAATTTTTGATCCGTTTTTTTTTCTGTTTTGTTCTTCTACACGTTTTCAGTCATCTGTTGTCTATGTTTCTTTCAAGTGGAACCAAAGCATTGACTCTTTCAGTACTAGCAAATTTTCTCATTTTATATGTCAATGAACGTATTAAGACAATTACCTAGGTCTTATCTAGGTGTTGATTTGAACTTGCGGTTTGGCGTTTAATTTTTTTAAATTCAATTGAAATTCATTCGGCGTTTAATTTTGGCGTTTAATTTTTGGCGTTTAATTTTTCTAGCTCAATTGAAATTCATTCTAAAAAAATTGAGATCTTAAGTTGTGAAAGCGAAAGTGGCTCAAAAACGCGAACGATTTGTAGTTTCGAAAATGAAATTTTATTTTCACACTTGCGAAAGCAAGTATCTTGTAATCGGGAACTAGACTTTTTTCCCGTAAACAACTTTTCTAGCAAACTTTCAACTTGCTTTATTATTACACAAGCATAGCTTGTGTTATAGTATGAATTCTCTTTTTATCCAACCTAAGTCGCAAATATTGTTGCGACAAAATGTGTTCATTTTGAAAGAGTTCAATTTGATCCAGCTATTAAGTACAGCCAATGCTAAGGATATTAACACAGACTATATAGTAGAAACAGCTCTTTAGCTTCAAGGTATCATGGATCTGTAGCGTAGAGGCAGGGAAGGAGACCAGCAAGAAAATAAGGGGGTTCGAACCTGGGCAGGGTCCGATGTTTTTTAAATGGACTTTTTCGTATATTGTTAAAATGCGTCCGCTCTTTAAATTGAGGCCTGTTAGTTAGTATTTTTTTTAAATTGACTGGTACTCTTAATGCGTCAAAATTGGCTTGCGTCACTTAGAACTTATGTAGACTCATAATTGGCGTGCATCACTTAAGAAAATTTGTAGAATCAAAGTTTTACTCATTCAGCTTTCCCAGTAGCGTTATCGGTCATATTTTTGCTTGTGTATGCGAAGTGCAACTTCGCCTGTTTTGAATCTTAGTAACTTTCAGGTTTCTTCGCACTTGCCCAAGAAGTAACACCTTCGCCTTTGTACTCTTAGATTCGGGGTTCGAATCCGGGTAGCACCTTTTTTTTCAGTATGCATAAATTAAAAAAATTTTTTCTGGTAAAATTGAATTGTCGGACAGTGGTTTGTCTGCTAAAGTTTTTGTCGGCTTACATGTCACATCCTAATTTTTTGTGATTTAAGCAAGTATCCTGATAGTTGCAAGTGTTGTTTTTTGTAGTTTCATGAGGACTTGAAACTTAAAAAGTTTTTTTTTTGTAAAATTAATTTTTCTCGGCTCAAATGGTTTCTGATCAAAGATTTTCGACTTTGTTTCTGCTTCGTAAATTTAATTCCATTCCTAATTTAAAAATCAATGTTTTGGCTTGGCAGGTTTGCTTAAAATAATTTTTTGATAGAAACAGGTATTATGAAAATATATGGGATTGGGTTTTTATTTCATTTTTTAGACGTTTTGGAATATTTTGAACTTTTGCAAAACTGCTACCGATATTCCGAAAAAAAGTGTCAATAAAAATAACGCTTGCTTCACTGTGTGTCTGCTTACCCCTCTGGTCTTTGTTTTCTTTACCCTCTGTGTACAACCTTCCAGAAAGTCTGTGGAACGAAATTTTGACCCATATTTTTTTCTGGTTTTTCTCAAAAACTAGCCTTCCAAATTTGAGATTTTGGGTTTAATGGATGGAACGGTTGTATGAAGCTCCTCCCTAAGCGACTACGCCAAAAATCATTTCCAAAGATGGTTAAGTCCTTCGGGATATTCAAAGTTTTGAGTTTTCGAAGCTTTTTGATTTTTTTCTGGAAAGTTAAACTCTGAAATCTGAGATTGTGGGCTAAAGGAGATCACGGGTTGCTTTAGGCAATCCTCTGCATTAGCGGCCACTCACTATGATGTACAAAAAGTTCTCACCCTCAAAAATGTCAATTTTGATGTTGACTTTTTTAAAAATAAATTATTGAGTATTCTCAAAAACTACCCTCCCATATCTGGGAATTTAAGTTCAATGCAAGACAAGGTTGTGGGAAGCTTTTCTTTATAAGAGACTATGCCCAAATTTTTACACCAAAAACTGTGGCCCTCGGAAAAGTCTCAACTTTGATTTTTTTTTTACTGTTTTTTGAAAAAGATTAATTTTTCTCGAGAACAACCATCCCAAATCTGAGTTTTTGGGTTCAATCGAAATTACAGGTCGTAAGAATCTCTTCTGCATAAATGGTGACACAAAAAGCTCCGATTCTCGGAAATGTCAAATTTTTGATTGGTTGATCGTTTTTTTTTGGGATTTTCTCGATAACTATCTTGCCAAATCTGATATTATACGTTTAATCGAAATAATAGGTTGTTGAACGCCTACTTTTGTAATGGGCTAAGTCCAATGTTTGTAAGAAAAAGGTTATTGCCCTTAAAACTTTGACGGTATTTGGAAACTTTTTGACTGAACTGGAAAGCTACCGTGCCAATTCTCTGGTTAATTCTCTGGTGTTCAATCCAGGAACCCGGTTTCGGGAATCTTGTCGTACTGCAAGTGGTGCGAAGCATTGCTTCGCCTCTTTTTTAAGAGTCTCCAGCGGAAAAAAAATTCCAGCTATTTAACCGTTTTTCTCAACTTTGGCTAATTTTTTGAAAAAATGTGAAAATTAAAAAACAAAGTTATTTTTGAGTTTTCATTTGTCTTTGTTCCAACTGTTTGTTGTCTAAAGAATTTTTAGCTCTGTTTAAAGAATTTTTTTAGCTCTCATGTCAATTATGGTCGAGTAGCTTGCCATTTTCTGATTGACGCTAAGCTCAATTTTGCCTCTTATGTGAACGAATACATTTGATTTCTCTGTAGTTGTCATTCTGATTATTTGCTAAGTGGAAGGGAAAATACGCTCTATATAAGCAAAAGTGGAATGATCTCTCAAAAAAATGGAGCTTGATTTTTAGCTCCAAAATTGGATTTTGTTTGTTATATTATTTGCAGTGGATATAAACTGAAATTTAAAAGAAAGCTTCCAGATGATTTTTTTTGTGAAATTCGTTGAAAAAGTCTGCCGTTTTTGGATTTCCTCTCGTTGAGTAAAATAATAACCTTTAACTGCCTGTTTGTTATAATTGTTGGTTTTGAGTTTTGCATAATTTTTCAATCTTTTTTAGAAAAATCTATGAGAAAACTTTTCAATCCAGTTTTCTCTAGTTGGGTTTATTACCCTTGCGATAAGCAAGTGTATTGCAATCGGGTACTAGATCTTTTTTTCCCGTAAAGAACTTTCTCCAGAGGACTCATCTAGTTTCGTGGTTTCTTGGTTCATAATCAATTCAGTTTGTTAGTGTATCCTGCAATAGGCTGGAGGTAACGAATACGCCTGGGATGGAAAATGTCTCGGGTTCGAATCTGTCTAGGACCTGTTTTTTTTTTCAAACGGTAAATGACCCGGTTCAAAAAAAAATTCGGCCTATTATTTTTCAGCTTATGTTTTATCGGCTCAGTTGCCAGATCTAAGAATGGTTTTTATTCAGCTCTAAACAATTTTCACTGGTCTTGCTTCAAGTATTTTAGCATTTTAAAAATCCGACCGAATTGAAATTTTTAGTACTGGTTTAATACTAATTTTACCAACTCTATTTGTCAAAATTTCTTTTTTCTTCATTTTTTGTCTTTATCGGGTTAATGAGTTTGGGCTTAATTTATATCGACCTAGTGGCCTCTTATTGCGTCGTTCGGGGATCGAAAAAGTTTGTGTGCATATGTGTGCTCTGGGGGAAAAGGGACAAAAAATATATTTTATTAGTTAAGATTTTTATTTTGTTTCGGCATGAAAGGTTTCTGCTCAGGTATTTTCGGCTTTGCTACCGCTGTGTAATTATAAAGCTATCCATCGCATCTGGCATAGAGGTATCACAACTGCTTGAGACCGCTTTTTTACTTGATTTTTTTTTCAGGTTTTTCCGTTTGATTTATTAATCAAATTTATATCGCAAGTGGTGCGAAGCTCAGCTTCCCCACTGTGTCAAAAATTGACACACAATAAAAAATTGATATTAAAGAGCTTCCATATGATTTTTTTTGTAAAGTTTGAAGGAAAATTGTGCCGCTCTGCCGTTTTTGGATTTCATGGTGATAAAAAAGTTTGCTGTACCTTGTACAAAAACATGTAATTGTATGTTTATTATAATTGATGATTATGAGTTTTGCATAATTTTTAAACTATTTTTGGAAAAATCAATTAGGAAGCTTGGAAACTGCTCTAATCAATGACAGAAACTGCTCTATCAATGACTGGAAAAAAAAATGTTTCAAAAAAGAAGTTTTCTATCAATAGTTAGAGTGAAAAGTTTGTTTTGGAAAGTTTAATAAATTTTAGAAATTTGTTTCTTAATTTTTTTATTTCTGAAACAATTGTTCGCTGTGTTTACAAGCTTGTCTGAAGTTGCAGCTATCTTCTCTTCCATTATATCGCAGCAGTTGAGCTTCTGTAATTATACGAGTCTTTTTTCTAACCAAAAACGCACATTTCATTTCACTTTCTCATTGTGAATTTACTCGTTCAGCATCGGAGCCGATATCTGAATCTTCTCTGGATTCAAAAGATTCAACATCTCAATTAAGTTGTGAGCCAATGGAACAGAACACGAGCAGTGATCAAGAAGCACAAAGCGTAGTATCAGTCCCAGTGACTTCTGCAGCTGAAAATCGAAATTATGAAATCCTCACTTCCGCTCAGCTCATTTCGGGGCCTTTAAATGTTCCCCAGCCTTCTTCTATGGCTCCTGCGGTTTCTATGTTTCCGATGGGATCTTTGCAATCGACCTTTCATCAGCATCTTCTGACACAGGGCGGGCAGTTGTACAGTTCAAATAAAGAGACATCGGGTAGTGAGGTGTCTGTCTTCGCCCAATCGTCTGAATCCGCAGTTCACAACAATGAAAAAGGCTAGAATTATTGAATTTTCAAAAATTGGTTTCAGTTAATGAATGTAAACGAAAGTGCAAACCGATTGCAATCTTTCAACTTTTTAGACTTGCAAGACTTTTTTCACCGTAAACAACTTTTCTTACAAAAAATTCAACTTGCTTTATTATTGAATCCTAACAAAACAACTTTCAGCTTGGGACTTTCGTACACGTGGATTTTATTAAGAGTATTGAACGTAATGAGTACTCTTATATAGGTCTTGCTGATTTTTTTTTCAGGAAAAAGTCTTAAAATTTGTTCACGCTCAATTTTGATTTTTCGCTGTTTGACTTCTGATTTTTTTTTTAATTCAGTGCATTTCTATTGTTAAAAGGAAGGCAAACTCCACTATCGAACAGCAAAATTGTAAAGGTCGCGAAAAACGTGATCGACTTCTAATTTCGAAAATGGAAATGAAATGTCAGGTTTCCCAGCAAAATAAAAGTTTTGCCTATTGATCCAGTTTTCTCGAATTGGGTCAATTTTAACAAAAAAAAATGTCCATCATAGATTGTTCTAAAAATTCAAAGAGCTTTAAGGCCATCTTTTTTTTTTCTTCGAAATTCAAAAGTTGAATGATCTTGAAAAAAAAACATGTCAGTTTTTTTTCAGTTTCCCTGCGTTAATTACTCTTCCAAAATAGTTGGCTATGTTTGAATGGGTTTTATTCAGGGGCGGATCTAGGATTTTCGCGGAGGGGGGTTGTCTAGGTTTTGTCGACCTTTTCGTAAATTTTCGTCAGTTTTGTCGACCTTTTTTCTTTTTTTTCGGTCGACCAAAATGATTTTCCGAGCTCTCCCAAAGCTCTAAAAAGACCCTGTTTCGGCAAAAAATTCTGCTCCGCAGTCAAAATTTAGAGAAAAGGCCAAAAATAGCGTTTTTACGCAATTTTTGGCAAATGTTTATCAAAAAATCGCTTTTTTCGGAGCGCGCTAACACCCCCCTACCCCCCCCCCCCCCCTCTCTTAAAATTAGTATATATGGGCGCCCAAGGCGTCTTAAGAAAAATTCTTGAGTCCGTCAGCCAAAAATGGATATCCCAAAGTAGTGTAGGTTTTATTTTTCAGCATTACCGAATGAAAATAAAAATTTACCTATTGCTCCAGTTGTGAAAATGAATTACCTATTGCTCCGGAATGAAAAATTTACCTATTGCTCCAGTTAGCTCAAATTAAGTTCATTTTATCAATAAATGGTCAAGCATAAATTGTTCTAGAAATTCAAAGAGCTTTAAGGCCATCTATTTTTGTCTTTGAAATTCGAAGTTCGGGATTTCAAAAAACAAGTCAGTATTGTTTTCTGTTTCTTCTCTTTTCCAACTGTTTGTTGGCTCTGTTTACTTCTAGACCTGTTATTTCCTGAATTTTCTATTATCAGGTGATAAGTGTAAGTACGCACCTAGATCATATTGGGGCTATAACCACGAAATTGTTTTCAAATCTTTCGTCTTATTCTCGTCCTAATTGTTTGAAAAATTTTACCACTGTTTGCAGGTTACGGGCTTCATAAATTTAAAATTCGAATTAACAAACTGATTGTTGAGCGACGTATACATAAGTGTTTTCAAAAAATTTTGGTGGCAGGGCAAAGTGTCGCTTATGTTATTCTATAAACGCGCATCGTTTAGTCTATCATCCGCAACTATACGCCAATTGCTACTCAAAAGTAGTACTTAATTCGCGCGGGTCAAAATTACCATGTGACTTGAACTTTTGATGGACAAAAAGGCCATTTTAATAGAGCCGTGATTTTCTCCGCAACTTCTGATTAAATCTGATGAAAATCATGCGAGAAATTGAGCGAAAATGCTTGAGGTGAATGGAGGGGGTTTGTAGTGACAATTAATTTGTGCAGAGTAATGTATCCCGTTTCGAGATTTAACATCAAAGATGCAAAAGTTAAATGCAGTCATAGAATAGATCCAAGAGGTTCTCAATTTGTTAATTCTGATTGACAATTGGGTTGTACTTTCGAATGAAATAAGAAGTTCAAAAGGATGTTTTTTTCTCATTTTATAATAGAGGATTATTAACGTTTTCTTGAACTGCTATCTCTTTAGTGTCTTCTCATTTGCAGTTCGCTGTCACTAATTCTTTCATCACAACTGTCATTTACTTAAGTTACGGAATCTTTAACTGGCCAGTTTTTTCCAGAGAATGCACAAACAGTTGAAATGGATATCCGAGAAACAATCGAGCTACAGTCTTTAGAAGTTGACAGCATAGTATCTGTTCCTCCGCAAAACAAAACCGCTCTTGTGGAAGCTTGTGATGAAACTACTGAACCTGCTCCGTCGGTTCTGTCGTCCGAGTTCGCCAACAATGCCTCAGAAGTGTCTGACGTTGTAGATCCTATGGATTCAAAAACTGAGGCTGCAGTCTCTGAAAAAAAAGATCACCAATCTGACGATGAAATTGAAGTAGTGCCTGTTGAAGCGTCTGCTGTAGAACAAAAGAAGTTATTGAAGACACACCTGTACGTATTGATTGACATAATCTTCCTTATAAATAGGATTTTTCAAAGATTATGAGTTCAATTTTTAAGCTAGGTCGTGTTTAACTTATTTAAAAGTCGATAAACGTAGTATGAAGACTCTTATATAGGTCTTGGTGATTTTTCCCTTTAAGGAAAATCTTAAAAATCTCTAATAACTACAGATGTGCATTCATACATATTCATGCATTTATGAATGAACTTAGGCGGTACTGGACAAATAAGACGACAGAACATTAAGACAAGCCAGTTTTAATACATTCCAAATGAACTGTTTGATTTCAACTGGTTTATTTTTGTCAGAAATATCATTGGAAAATTTCGCGTAGTGTCGTCTTAAAGTCCCGTCAAAAATGGTTGTCGTCTTTACAGCTGTCGTCTCATATTCCGGATACCCGGATAAATATATATGCTTTTTTTGAATTCAATTGAAATTAATCTGCTTAAAACTAGTAAATTGCACTCTCCCAATACGAACGTGGTAATGGCGCAAAAAAGCGTGAACGATTTCTAGTTTCTAAAAGGGAATTTGATTTACAAGATTTCCCAGCGGAATAAATCCAGTTTTCTCACGTTGAGTTAATTGTATCAAAAAATTTCAATCATAAATTCGTCTTGAAATTCATAAGGGTCAAAGCCAAAAAATTTTCCTCGCGTTCCCTGACTGTTTTCCATTTGTCTGTTTGCTATTTTAGTCCTTTCGCGAAAATTTTACGTCATGTTTAGTATTCAGCTAGCTGATTTGGTGTTTGAATAATCGACTATGTAGTTATTTACGCTAACAAGCAGCTACTGTTTTAGTACGAACCGTCTTTTTTCTAACCTAACTCGGAAGTAAAAGTGTTCATTAAAAGTGTTCACTTCTGTTGCTTTTGCTATAATCACGATCTGTAGCATTAGAAATTTCATAGCATCTGTTCTAGGCTTTATTTGTGTCTAGTGTTTGTGAAGGACTAAGAGTCTGTGACTGAGAGGTTACAGCGTGAGACTTGTAACTTCTAGGTCGCAGTTGGTCCTAGTTTTGAGTCCGAGAAAAGCCAAATTTTTACTAATTCGAGGCTTATTTTTACTTTTTCTCATTGTGCACTTTTTAGAACTCAACAGCTGCTTTTTGGTTTGTTCGCGCTAGTGTTTGCGGAGCACAGCTTTGCCTCTGTGTAAATTATTCTTACAGATGGGTAAAAGACACCGGATTCCATTCATGAATTGTCATTTTTTTTCTCAAAAACATGTGAATTAATTATAACCATTTGCAGGTGCGGATTTAGGGGGATGCCTCCTCCCCTCACCATCCTTTGGTACTATTGTCCATTCTTTTTTTCTAAAGCAGACATTATGTACAAAAGGCGTCAATCATTTCTAAAGGCGAGATTTTGTACTAATTTTGAGCCGGAGCACTCGCTGAAGAAACGCTATTTTTCGGTTAAAACCTCAAAAAAGAGTCCCGAAATCACGTGGGCCTGGTTGTTACAATTTTGACGGCGGTGCTGATATTTGTTTTCAAAATATGGTAATTTATTGTGTTATTGCTGATCCCGGAAAAAATTAATTTGGTCGGCCTTAAAATAGGTCAATAAATTTATTAAATGAAACTAGCTCTCCCCCCCCCCCCCCCACCTGGAGAAAGTTCTCGATCCTCCCTTGACCATTTGGTTGACTATACATGTAATCAAATATAATTACGATAATGGCTATAAATGATCTCTGAAGCCAGGAAGTCAGTTTTTATTAAAGGAGAACGAACACACCGATCCATCGGGGAATCTCAGTTTTCGGTTTCAAGAGGAAGAACAGAAAGTGGATGAAGGGAAACATAGTAAGCAGGACTCCTGGGCCAGAAGGCGAAGACCTCTACCGGGTCAAGTACAGGGATGCTAACCAAGAACACAGCTACAATCAAGCTAAACAAATTGCATTTGGATTCTCGTTGAATCGTGTGACCTATGCAGTAGGCTCCAGAGTGCTGGCTTTGTTCAGTCACGATGCACACGAGGGTAAAGGTCGATTGGAGGACTGTCCGAATAAGAGAACTATAATGGAAACTGGAGTAATTGGCGAGACTCCGAATAGTAAAGTAGTTCCTGGGAAGAATTCGGACAACAAGAACAGGTGAGTTAGTACTCAAAAAACATATTCTCCGACTTTTGTGAATAGACGCAAGTTAGAGGCACAGAGAATGATTACATGATGCAATTGAGATATTTTTTGAAATTCTTTTCACCTGTTATTTTTGTAAGTCGTGACTTTGAATATAATTCTCTACTGCTTTTATTGGTATCTCTCCTCTAGTCGTTGCAGGTACCTGGTGTTCTTCGACACAGGACAAGTGCAATACATCCCACATGGGTCCGTATTCCACCTGCTGACCGAAGATCAGAGTGAAATGTGGAAAGAAGTGGTGGACAAGGAGATGGCTACATTCCTCCAGGTGTACTTCCACTTCCATCCGAAGAGGTTCCTTCTTCAGGACCCAGTTGTTGGAAAGCCGATCACAGTCAAAGACTACAAACGATGGTCAGTGCTATGGTTTCTACATAACAATAAATCAGAAAAATTGATGCGCATTGCTTGATGCTTAAGTAGATTGGCCAAAATTAATTAGGTTTTTGAACCGAATTAATTAATTAGCTTTTTGAACTAAATGCGGGGTTAGTTTTTTAAAAACTAAGTTAGTGGCGGGTTTCGAAATGAGAAAGCGTCTTGCAACGTGTTCTGTTGAATTTTTCCATTGCATATTTTTTTTCCAGGTCGCAGGCAACCATAACTGAAGTGGACTGCAACATCATCAAGGTCACTTTCGAAGACGCAGACGGTGAGAAAAACAGATTCGAATGGATCTTCCGAGGTTCCGACCGGATTGAGTCAGTGAAACGATACATCACCAAAATGCTGCAATCAAACCCATTAAAATCTGTGTCAAATGACGCCGAAAACAAAAACTCATCGGCTAAGTCAGTGAGCAGCGTAACAAACAGAGGCAGCACTTCAGCCCTTTCAAGAGTGATCCACATTCTGAGTTCTTCTGAGGATGAGAGTGAAGAGCAAAGTGAGAGTCTTCCTGTTTCGGATTCAAATGACGCAAGTAGAAATGCGGAAAAGGATCCTGCGAATCGAATAATTGGGTCGAAAGAGAAAGAAATTAAAGCAATTACTAGCACAACTGGCAATTCCACTCCGGCGCCCTCTGAGAGAACAAGATCGACTTCGAAACATGATGATAGTAAGTGGCTAGCATAATTTATAACATTTATTAAGGTGGAATTTTCCGGCTTATACACAAGCCAGTTGGAGCTGATACAGCTTTTTGTTCTTGTTGCAAGTCCAACATGATCAATTTTACCTTTGAAAGAAGCTGTGTGACTTGAAATTGTTTACATTTTAATTCAATCTTGTCAAATATGATGTAATGTATTTGTGATTACCCTTGCGATAAGCACGGGTTTTGCTACGGGTTTTAGACGTTTTTCCCGTAGATAACTTTGTTCACAGAATGGTCCAAGTTAGAAATGGTAAGTTTGGGTTGTTCATAATAAATTCAAATTTCTATGCGTCTCCGGCAAACTTGGGCTGGAGTTAATGATTACGCCTGAGATGGCAAAGGTGCTAAGTTCGAACCTGACAGGAATTTTTTTCAAACAGGAATTATTCCAATTCAAAAAAATTGTTGGCTTTGGCAATATATTTGACTGCTTATGGTTTGTTCTTGTTGGCTTAGTTGCCACAACGTAGAATTTTTTTTCTGTACGCAGTTCAGATTGTAGTTGATTTTAGTGTTTCGATTTCCTGGCGTTGACTTCGGGTATTTTCTTTTTTTTTAGTTTTTTCTGCCTTATTGATTTAGACTTATAGTTTATAGGCTGTGGCCTAACTTGGTGTAGTTTTAATAGAAAAATAATTTTTGTGCTCTTTTCTGGATTGCAATAGTTGCTAAAATCTTAATAGAAATTATAGTTTTTCATGACAACAATTTTTTTTTCTTTTTTTTGGCTTATATTATATCGGCTTAGTTGTCTGTTTTTGTTTCATTTGAGGAGCGAATAAAACTTTATGTATGTGTGGGTTTTGAGCGTGAGGGGACTTCTTAACTTAATAAGTTTTAGGACTTGTTGATTTTTTTTTCGGCTTAAAGGGTTTTTGCTAAAGTATTTTCGGCTTTATTACTGCTTGGTAATTTTTTTCCTATGCTTATTTCCTATTCTGTTGTCTTGGCATGTTTTTCTTTCAAAAGTAGCCTTATTCATTTTGATAGATTTGGTTGGTGCGAAGCGCAGCTTGGCTTTGTGTTTATTTTTTTGCTGTCCTTACGACTTGGCGGCTTTCTTGTTTGGTATCGCAAGTGGTGAGAAGAGCAGTTTCACTTCCGTGTTTTTTGCTGTCCTTCAGCGCATAAGTAGCTGATCTAAGAATAAGCATTTATCTTTTTCAGCTGAAGACCTATCTTCTAACCCAAGGTGGTTTGGAGGGAAAAAATGGGCAACTGAATTCATTCCAGAAGCAAAACGCACATACGCAAAGTGGCACAAAAAATGTTCATATAAGTGTCTGCAAGTACCATCAGCACCAAAAGACGAAGAGAGAGGAGCTAAATGTCTCTTACAAACGCCAGTGTTTGCCGGTTTTGAGCGGGAGTTTTGCCACACGAAAGCACCGGCGTTCAAAGGCGACAATCCCAAAGTAGCCGTGGTGTACCGAAGCCCTTGTGGGAAGCGCCTAAGAAACATCGAAGAGTTGGGTGCTTATTTACTTTCCACAAAATGTAGTATAGGGATTGACAAGTTTTGCTTCGACCCATTAATTGCTAATATTTTTGATTCGGTCGAGTTGGAAACCGAAACTTTCTTGGTGAAAGAAGACGTGTCTCACGGTGTTGAGAAGCGGCCAATTAGAGTAGTCAACAAGATCGATGATTCAGTTCCAATCTTCGGAAAATATATCTTAGAGCGCCAACCAAGTGCTGAAGTAATTGCGATGATGAAAACGGACCCTGGGTTTCAAGCGTGCTGCGACTGCACGGATAATTGCAAGGATAAGAAGAAATGCGCATGTGCACAATTGACCATTGAAACAACGAGGATGGGAAGAAATGGAAAGTCGAAGCGGAAGCTTACGTATTCGAATGCGGGTTTCAATCACCGAAGATTAACAACTCGACATGAGTTTGGGTAAGCTCGATTTCTATCCGTTTTTGAGCAAGTTGTCAAGTTTTTGTTACGACTAGAAATTGGATAGCGCAGCTATAAATTCTCTAGCGCGTTAATTACTAGAGATAATGTACCTGTTATATGTCGGTAAATTGGTATTAGTTGAGTAACGACGATAAAATTTGCATGGATTCTCAAAACAGATATGAGGCCTTCTTTCTACATACTCTCTTTAGACTTTGCGATGAATTGTTAAAAAGTGACTCTGATTTTTCTTTATTATAGCCTGTATGAGTGCAATTCAAATTGCTCGTGCAATAAGGAGACTTGTTACAACAGTGTAGTGCAGTTGGGTCTTCAAGTGAGACTGGAGCTATTCATGACCGAAAAGAAGGGTTGGGGTGTCCGATCTCTAGACTACATTCCAGCCGGAACCTTCATTTGCAATTACTCTGGAGAACTCATGACAAAGTTCGCTGCTGAAATGGTCAGTTATTGATGTTCATCATTGATTTAGGCAGTGATAAACGAATTAAAATTCTGATCATAGGACTTGAGAATATTAAGAATCTACGCGAGGATTTTTGATTTTGCCCTTCTTTATGACCTATTTCGCTACCGTGAGAGAATTCGGTTAAAAATAGGTGAACCTGTTCGTTGTTGTAGTAATAATTTGTAACAGGCAAGAAAAAATTCTGTAGCTGCTCTTTGCCACACAAGTCAAGAATGGTAGGGCGACAATTCAAAACAAAGCATTTGCAAATAGCATAAGCTTGCCCCGCTGCGCTTACATCCGACACGAGATGATTACTGCGCGTGAATCAGTGAACCGCGTTTTAACTACTGTTACGAATTGTCGCCTCATGATCAAGAATATAGAAAGTCATGTAAATATTTTAGGTTTTGAGTAAAGGTGTTGGTAAATTGCAAGAAACACAGTTTTATCGAATGGTTTTTATGTTTTAGGCTGCTATGGTAACTGGCGACACGTACCTCATGAATTTGGATTTCATGGAGAAAGCGGGAACCTTGAAAGAGGATGAGGATGGAAGCCAAGACGACATAGAAGAAGACGAAGAAGATTACGAACTAGACGAGGAAGACGACGAGCAGTTCCTGCGACGGAACAGAAGGCAGGCAGACATTTTTGATTAGAGCTGTTTAGGCAGGGAAATATCAGTAGTTAAAGTGCATATGTTCAAGTGTGAAAAAACGAAAAGATTTTCACTAAAAAGGTCGTGATTATTTTTTTTCAGAAAGCTCTAATGTGATTTTTTTTGCGGTTTGAATTTTGATTTCTTTTTAAGTACAGTTCATTTCCTTAGTGAAAAGGAAGGCAAACTCCAATAGCAAACAGCAAAAGTGTAAAGGACACAAAGAATGTGATCAATGTTCTCGTTACGAAAGGGGATTTTTATTTTTGAACGTAGTGAAGACTCTTATATAGGTATTGGTGATTTTTTCCCCTTTTTTTCAGGAAAAAGTCTTAAAATGCTCTAATAACTACAGATGTGCATTCATACATATTAATGCATTTAAGAAGAATATATCCTTTTTTGAGTACAAATAAAATTCACTTGATGAACGTTATGTAAATAGCACTCTCCAAATACGTGGAAATTGCGCAAAAAAACGAAGAATTTATAGTTTCGAAAGTGGAATTTAGTTTTCAGATTTCCACCGGAATAAAAACTTTACCTATTGATCCAGTTTTCTCAAGTTGGGTTAATGTTATCAAAAAAGCGCCAGTCGCAAATCGTTATAGAAATTCAAAGAGCTTAAATGGCATCTATTCTTTTTCTTTGAAATTCTAAAGTCAGTGTTTTTTTTTGTTTACTTGCGTTCATAATTTTTTTCCGACTGTTTGTTGGCTATGTTATGATTTCTAAACTGAATAGAAAAAAATTGTCTCAAGGAAAGAGATAACTCAAAGAAAAAGTGCCACATATGAGCAATTTGTGAAATTCAAAGAGTCTTAACGTGATTGAGAGTCGATGAATGCAGTGAAGACCCTTATATAGGTCTTGGTGATTTTTGTTCTCAGGAAAAGTCTTGAAAAGACTTAAAAATACAGATTTGCATTCATAAATATTAATGCTTATATGAATGCACTTAAGTATATTTGCACTTTGTGAGTTCAATTTGAAACAATCTGCTGAAAATTTGGTAAATTGTACTTATCCAAATACCAACGTGCAAATGGCGCGAAAAAACTTGAACGACTTCTAGTTTCGAAAGTGTAACTTCATTTTTAGATTTCCTAGCGGAATAAAAGTGTTACCTATTTATCCATTTTTCTGAAATTGAATTAGTTTTAGCACGAAGTCAATCATAAATTGTTCTAGAAATTCAGAGAGCACTAAATCCATCTGATTTTTTCTTTGAAATTCGAAATTTGTAAAATGTTCAATAATTTGCGGTTATTTCCTTTTGTTCATTGTTTATTTTTCAACGGTCTGGTGACTATGTTAACGAGAATATGTTAGACTATCGATTGGTAAAGTGCTGTATAGTTCGTACAAAATCCATTAAGATTGCATATCTGTTTTTTTTTTCAGGGCGAACATATCTCTCTCACAGTCTGCAAATTCGGATCCTTCCTGGACTCCAGGTAATCACTATGTTCTTTAGATTTGTTGATTCAAGTGCCATTAGTTGTGTTTCAGCTTCATCGGGTAGGGGTTAAGGCATGCCGCTTTTCAGTTGGACTTTGCCCAGTCGATTCCCGCATTGGTTGTCATTTTTGCTCATGCTTATGAAGTCTGCTTCGCATGTATTTAGCTCACAAATTATTCTGCATTTTATTAAACTGAGTTGAGCCTTTTTAGCATCAATTAAACTAGCAAATGAATTTGCCACTTTACACAATTTAGTTCTTTTTAATTTTACCCACAGGCAAAATAACAGCAGCTGAATTGTCATCTTCTGCCGAGGACTTGCCTTCAGTCATTGCGGAGGAAGAAGGGTTGGAAGATATACGACCCGCAAGTGATGACGAAGAAGCCGACGGTCCTGGTTTCGGGATGGATTTGGACGACCTTTCTGATTTGGATGAAACTAACGGAGCTACTGGAAATGACTCGCTTCGAGATGGAGTTTTGCTTCTGAAAGGAGGCAAGAAGCGCCAGAAAAGTGGAGATAATAACTCAGAAACAGGTAAACATTTTAACTCTGAAACTTTTTAGCTAACGCCGATTTGAAAATAATGGTTAGATGTAAACTATTTTTGCATAGCTTTACGATTTTCAGGATCCATCCATGACATTTTGAATGGGTCTCTTAAAAGATAAATAATTTCGCTCTTTTTTTATTCAGATCATAATTCAGAAGACGACACATCATTGTTGGTTTTGGACTCGATGAACTCGGGAAACATTGCACGGTTCTTTAATGTAAGTTCACCTTACGATTTTAGGAAAACAGCTTGTTACGATTGGCTTGTATGTAATGATTTAATTTTTGTTTCAGCATTCGTGTAATCCTAACCTATACGTCCAAAATGTGTTTATCGACAGTCATGACAAAAGATTTCCCTATACTGGGTTCTTTGTTGGGGAAACGTAAGTATTCTTTAAAGTGAACTTGCTTGTTAATTGTTTTTACGCTAGAGAGCTTGTGAGCGCTACTGTATTTGTACGAGCCTTCTTTTTTTCTAACCTAACTCGCAAATAAAAGTGTTCATAAAAAGTGTTCATTCGGTGGCACTTTTGCTATAATCACGATCTGTATCATTGGAAATTTCGTAACATCTGTCTTCTTTATTTGTGGCTAGAGAGTTTGTGGTTTATTAAGCGTCCGTGGTTTATTAAGCATTTGCGAAGCACAGCTTTGCTTCTGTGTGAAAGTTTGTTGTGAAAGGTTCTTGACATTCTAGTGTAATAAACACAGTTATGTTTAACCTATTCAACTGTAATCTGTTCATGTCGTGAAAAAAATTGGGCTTAGTTTTTTAAGAGTCGATGTTCCTTTTTCAATTTCAAATTTTTACTATGTTTGAGCTGAACTCCTAATTTGTTTATACTACAATTCTGAAGTGAAATAGGTATTTTTACTACGCATTTTTGCTGTGACGGTGTAACTTTTATTACATTCAAATTCATTTGCTTATAGGAAAGCAAATTACGCTGTTCGATAAAGAATGCGCAAAAAGAATGCGAAAAAGCTGAAAAACTTCTTGTTTCGAAAGTGGTTTTTGAACTTTAAATTTCCCAGCGGAATAAAACTCTACCGATTGAATCAATTTTTCAAATTTGATTATTCTTATCACATCTCCAAGCGTAGTGTATGAACGTGACTCTACTTTTTATCCAAACTAACTAGCAAATAAAAGAGCTGATTTGGTAGCACTTCTGCTAGTATTATCGATCTGTAGCAATGGAAATTTTATAGCATCTTTTCTCCACTTAATTTGTGGCTATTGTTTTTTTTTAAATTATTAAGAATCCGTGGCTGAGATGAAAGGACGTAAGACTCCAAATCTTGAGGTCGATGGATCGAATCCAATCCACAGCAAAAGTTTCAGTCTTTGAGGCCGATTTTTATTTTCATATTTCTCTATAGAGCTTCTTTTTAGAAGTTTTTTGGGCTCTTCTCTACTTTCGCCCCACATTCAAAAATTCAGTTTTGATTCCATTTTCATATTGTCAAAATACAATGAATTTTTGCTTGGTGAATAAACTAATTTTTGCGAACACATTTGTTCTGTAATCCTTACATCATAACATCACGCATTCAGCCATATTAACACGTAAGACAGCTAAAAAAAATGCAAAATTCGAAACGTGTGGGGTAATTTTGTTGGCTGTGTTTTCAATTTTAATTACTCGTTCAATCTCCAAATAGTCAACTTTTGGCGAATACGCCAGCAAAGCCCTTGTTTTAGGATCAGATCTCTTTTTTTGATTTTAAAATCGCACCTTTCTATGTTTGCTCAGTTTGTGTGTGTACTTTTAAGTATTTTTATAGCAAATCGCAGGAGTTTTCATCCATTTAATTAAGGCGCATTCATTACTGCTTTGTATTGATTTTCAAGTCTTTTGTGAAAATAAAAGTTACATAGAAGCAGTAGTTTAGAATGATGAAGGGGAATCTTGGGCATAGGTCTGTAATTTTAATCTCAATGAATTAAGAAACTTTTCAATCACGTGTGAACGAAATTGATAAACTACTTCTGCTATTGTTTTTGTTTTGCTCCTAGAGAGGAAAAATTTTTGAAAGTTTTTCGGTGTTTCCTGAAATGGGGAAATTTCTTTCTTTGTTTTTGATTGCTTTTACTTATATGTCAATATACAAGAGTTTTCTGGTTAATTTAAAGAATTTTTATTAAGGGAAATACTAAAATTCTTCACGCTCAATTAAGTATTCAGGCGGTTAAGAGTTAAAGAATTTTTGAATTTTGATGCTTTCAGCTCAGTTTGTTTCCTTTGTAAAAAAGAAAGGCAAATTCCACTCTTGAACCTCAAACGTGTAAAAGTCACAAAAAATTTGAATGGCCTCTTCTTTGGAAAATATACTCTAATTTTCTGAATTCCCTGGGGAGTTGGAAAATTAATTATTGATTCATATTCCTCTAAATATGAGAGTGTTAAAAAAAATTGACCATCTTGAACATTTTCTACGTAATTTTTAAGTGATTTTGTTTTCTAAATTTTGAAATTTTAAAAATGTTCCAAAATTTTCAATCGTTTTTTTTAGTTGATTTTGTTCTAAGTTTTCCAAGCATCTGTTGACTATCTTTTAAATATACTTTTAAAACTCATTATTATTCTTCGCAAAAGGACGCTAAGTTACACTCCTAATAGCAAAAACGCTCTGATTTGAAAAGTGTTGCTCATTTTTTGTTTTCAAAAGTGCTTTTTATTTTTTTCCGCAGAGTGAGAAACCTATTGATGTAACTCTTTGTTCACTTGCCAAAGTAAAGGTACTTGTAATCCAGAACAAGACTTTTAACCCATAAACAGGTTTGCGTTCAAACCTGTTAGATATTGACCTTGCGCCCTCAGAATAGAAGGTCTAGGATTCGGGTCGCAGCCGGACCTTCGAAAAAGCGTGGATTGAATTTGTTTTGGGGGACTTGAGTTGTCAGACTACGTCCATTTTATTTTTTGTAGGCGCACTTTCCAAAGCATGGACTTTTCTTCTTCAAACAATCATTTTTTTAAAAAATTATTACTAGTAGTCGTTCCATGTCAAGTAAGTATTATAACTCTGATTTTGTTCGATTGCCTTTTTTTCGGTTAAGTGGCTCTGTTCCATGATATATCCACTTAGTTATCTTATGAAGAAGAAGAAAGAACACTTCAATTACTGTGTAAAAGTCTATGCATCAATGCATTAAAGTGTAATAAAGATTATATTGGGTTGTTTGAAGGATAAATAGGTTGTTATACTTTTGTGTTTTGTGGAGTAGTGGTGCGTAGAAAATTTGAATTTCAAATTTTAATTGCTGTGTCAAAATTTGCTGTGACATTTCGAATTTAGTTTTTGTCTTATTTGGCGTCTGCCCAAGTGTTGTCTGGGTAGTTGCTGCTCGTTAAAAAAGTTTTGAGATTTTTTGAAACGATGAACGTAGTCAAGACTCTTATATGGGCCGTGATGACTTTTTGTTCTCGGTTTTTTCTCAAGCTCAGTTCATTTCCTTTGTTACCTCGACTATCGATAAGCAACTGAGTAAAGATCACAAAAACCGTGATCGACTTCTAGTTGCGAATGTGGCTTTTAATTTTCAGATTTCCAGCGGAATAGAGAAATTGTTTATTGATCTGGATCTTATTGATCTCAATTTGGATTAATTTTAAAAGAAGTGTCAATCATAAATTGTTCTAAAAATTAAAAGATCTTTAAGGCCTTCATTTTTCTCTCTGAAATTCGTAATTTAAGAATTTTTCAGAAAACGAGTCAATTGTTTTTCTGTTTACTTGCGTTAATTGACTCTTTTTGAACTGTATGTTGGCTATGTTCCTCAAATTGAAGACCATTCAACATAAATGTGAGAAAAATTTGTAGATGCAGTTTTGCTTTTTTTTTCAAAAAAAAACAAACGATTTTCTTTGACTTTGTGGATTCTGTCTCATTTTCTGTCTGCTTGCTTACAATGCTATATTTGTGTTGTATCGTAAGTGGTGCAAATCTTCGCTTCGCCTCTGTGTGTTATTCCTTGTCATGCTAATGATAGCTTTTTCAGACATATCAAACCAGGAGATGAACTCGGATGGGACTATGGATATGAGGTTAGTTGCAATTCTTCGCCTCTGTGCTCCATATAATGCTTCGCCTCTGTGCTCAAATATAGCATCTATCTGTCCGATAATATAACCGAAGTATATCTGAAATTTTTCGCTGACAGAAGTAATTTCTGAAGTTTCACAAAACAAATATTTCACGTCATTGCATAATTTGCTTTGATTATAATTCTAATGAAAAACAAACCTCATTTGGAAAATAATTGAAAATTGGCTTGCAGTCGAAATGATTTCTCGGAGTAATTTGTTTCTTTTCAAGGCGGGATCAGTGGAAGGAAAGATACTCTTCTGTCACTGTGGAGCAGGCCAATGTCAAAATCGACTCTTGTGATCATGATCACAACTGCTGTTCTCTGTTAGTCCTTCCAAAAAAGACAATTTTCTATCTGTAAAGATCAACGAGGATATCCTCAACTCTGCCCAAAATTTATGCAAAACTCGGGAGATCTTTGATGTTTCCCATCTATCAAATTGACTATCGACGAGATGGCCCTCAATGCTTCTCAAAATTATTTAAAACTTGATCTTTGTTATGTTCTCAATTTGTGAATTTTGAGAATATTCTCGAGTTTTCTCTCTCAGCATCGATCAAAATTGTTTATATGCTGATGGTAATTAATTTGTGTTCTACTCGAGATTTTATCTATCAATGAGTTTATTCTCAGCCTTTTCCGAAATTTATTTGAATCTTGGTTTTTGAAATTTGAAATCAATTTCGTTTGAGTTTGTTTTTTCACAACTAGTCCACAAAGCTGAATGAAGGTGTTCGCATTAAAACTACTACATTAATCTATATGGGTAGTTATCATGACGATTCGGAAAGTAATAAATTTGCTAGTTGGGCCACTCAGCAACAAGCAGTCAAAAGAATGAAAATTTGCTTCAAGTGACCGATGCAAAATGATGAAAATTATATCTTCTCGTAAATTATCATCAGTTAAGAGAGAGCACCATTCGACTAGTAGTGCAGCCTACTTTCAGGCTATTCTCCCTTCGCAATGAAATAAAATGACGAGAAGTTACCTCTTTGTTGCGCATATTGTTTGAGATGTTTTTGAATTCACTTTCAGATGTAAATTGAGCTACAATGCCGAAGAAGAAAACAGGTGCTCGGAAGAAGGCAGAGAAGCAGAAGGAGCGACAGAAAGAGATGCGAAGTGTGGGTCGCCCGATAGTGGAGGAGCCATGCAACTCCCTGTTCGAGTGCCACGAGTGTGGCAACAAACAGAAGAATAGAGCGTTCTGCTATTTCTGCAACGCTTTGAATAAACTGCCCATGTGTGGCCACTGTGGAAAGACAAAATGCATGATGAAGAGTGGTGACTGCGTGATTAAACATGGAGGTAGTTACACTACCGGCATGCAGATGGTGAGCTTAAGTTTTTTCTGAAAAGTTTCGGCCCAGAAAAAAATTTTGTTTTTTTTTTCTGGGCCGAACTTCGTTTTGCAAAACTTGCTATTTTTCAAAAAATAATATTTTAATTTGCAAGTACAGTGGAACTTTTGAGCATCCAGTTTCACTAGAAATGGAAGAACGTGAGTTAATTTTGAGATGATTATGGTATTGATTGCGGAAACGTTTTCTATTTGAAAGTTAATTAACGCTTTTTTCCTGATTATGTTCTGTGAACACGTTCGCTTGAAACTATTTGAAAGATGTTGCCTTACCTATTGATAAATAATAAATTGAGTTGTTATTAGAAAAAAGTTTTTAACGCTTACTTTGTTTTGAATCATATGAGGAGTTGTGAAAATTAAGACTAAAGTAGTTTTCATACTTGTGTTCTAGATCGGTGCCATCTGTGACTTCTGCGAGTGTTTCATCTGCCACGGCAGAAAGTGTCTGCAGACACACGCCTGTATTTGTCCCCTCACAGATGCAGTGTGCACAGAGTGCGAGAGAGATGTCTGGTCCCACGGGGGACGAATTTTCAAGTGCTCCTTCTGTGCTAATTTTATATGTGAAGACGATCAGTTCGAACATCAGGTAAACAACGTAAAGTTTTTGCAATTCATAGAAGTGCAAATGTGTCGGGTGATAGGGTTTTTTTGGGTTTTGTCAAAAATGGAAAAAAAAGTTACGTTATCTTGGTTTCCAACTTAACGTTATTTTAGATAAAATGTGGGAAAGAGTTACAAATTGTTTTCATATTTTCATGAACATTTTAAGGATTTGAGGCTTAGTGTCGTTTAAGATAAGTATACAGAAATTTTGTATGGCGACTTTATCTAAGGTTTCTTTATCCAGGCATCCTGTCAGAAAATTGAAGCCGAAAATCTGAAATGCATGTCATGTAACAAATTGGGCCAATATTCTTGTTTACGCTGCAAAATCTGTTTCTGTGACGAGCACGTAAGACGAAAAGGAGTCAAGTACGAGAAAAATCAGGCGTTTCCCTGTCCTAAATGTTCGTACGTGACGAAGGAAACTAAAGAACTCTCGATGTCTACGAGGAATTACGACTTCGGCAGAAAAGGTGCGGAAGGTGACGACGATGAGTATTATAATTATCAAAGCAGTTCGTACTCCAATTTCGACTCGTGGCGAGGTAATCATGGAGACGAAGATGACGATGAAGAAGATTCAGATTTCGATCCTGATGAAGATGACGAGGAGGAAGAATCAGAATCTGATTAATTTAGATTTTATGAGATGATATATTTGATATGGATATTGTTTTGGCGCTGTATTGCATTGATTCATATTTTGAATACTATTTATTTCGATTTGTTCATATAAATGACCCTGTTTTTTCCAGTAAAGTGTTGAACATAAAACTCAAACTTTATGAAGGTATGTACAATGGTTCCGCCTTATTAAGTAGGAATTTTTGAGGGAATATTTATTTTAATCCGAAAGATAATGATGTCATGAGCTCGAAATTTAAAAAAAAACGAGATATTTTACCAATGTTGTTTTCTGGAAGTTGCCATTTTGGAATTATAGTTCAGAGATATTGATTAATGTGAATGAACTAAGTGAAACCACTTCTACCGGTCGTAGTATTTTTTGCAGTGCACAAATGTCTAGTAATCGGGAACTAGACTCTTTTTACCCGGAAACAGTTTTTCTTGCAAGTTTACTTGCTTTTTTTGCTTGCTTTGTTATTGAACATTTACAACTTAAGGCTTGTTACCGCTTGGCCTAGAGATAACGTGGTCGCCGTTGCATCCTAAGGTCTGGGGCGTAAGTCCCGGTCGGCCCTTAATTTCAAATTATTTGAAATGGATTTTTTTTCCAGTCAAAATTGAATGGTCGGACTGTTTTTCTGCTCAAGTTTTGTCGTCTTAGTTGCCACATTACGGATTTATTCTTTTGCTGGAAGTAAGTTTTATTGTTATTGAACATTTACAACTTAAGGCTTGTTACCGCTTGGCCTAGAGATAACGTGGTCGCCGTTGCATCCTAAGGTCTGGGGCGTAAGTCCCGGTCGGCCCTTAATTTCAAATTATTTGAAATGGATTTTTTTTCCAGTCAAAATTGAATGGTCGGACTGTTTTTCTGCTCAAGTTTTGTCGTCTTAGTTGCCACATTACGGATTTATTCTTTTGCTGGAAGTAAGTTTTATTAAAGTTGCAAGTGTTTTTTTTTGTAATTACAGGCGGCTCTTGAAACCTTATTACAAAATCATTTGTTTCCGGCTTAACTTGTCTGCTCGACGATTGTCGGCTTTGTTTCTGCTTTGTTAATTTTATTCCTTTGCTAGTTTATTATTCAAATGTTTTGCTAGGCATGTTTTCATAAAATGAGAACTTTTTCCATTTTTTCTACTCTTATATTTTTTGTGTGTTGTATCGCAAGTGATGTAAAGCTCTGCTTCGTCTTTGTGTATAACTTGATCACGCTCAAATTTGGTTTTTCGGGGTGTGAGTCTTGATTTTTTACAGTTCATTTCCTTTGCTAAATTTGTTACCTTTCATTTTCGCAGCTCCAATATCACTTGACTTGGTCATTGCAGTCCGAAACTCGACTGAGAGGTCTTCAGTTATATCTATTAATCGATTTCGTACGAGGTGATTTGACTAAATGGTACCAGAATTTCAGGCGAAAAGCACCCGAATTCAAAAGTTCTTCCCAGTACTTGGTCGAACAAAAACCGGTTGCTGTAATTACACTCGAGAGCGTAGTGTTATAGTACGACTATGTTTTTTCCTACCTAAGTTACAAATATTGGTACCATTTTTGACATAAATGGCTTCAATTTGTTATATTCCAAATTATTACATGCAAAATTGTGTCTTTTTGTATTTGGTGCTACTTTTGCTGCATTGCATTGGCAATTTATTGGCACATGTATCTGCTTTTTGTTGTTCTGGTTAGTAGGTTGTCTCTTTGTAAGTTTTCAAGGGCCCGTGACCGTAGAATCGAATCCGCTAGCGCAAAAGTTTTAATTTTCAAGGCTTATTTTGACCTTTTCTTTTCTTATTTCAAATTTTAGAGCTGCTTTTTTGCTAGTTTTTGGGAAGCGCAGCTTCGCCTCTGTGTTTTAACTGTTATCAGATGGAAACATTATTTTGGTATAGGGCATAGTTGGTATACGACAAACCAGAATACGTTATTATTGTTCCGACCATTGAATATAGAGAGGAACTTTGTCTTCGGATGTGTTTTGGTTTTTTGTTTTCACGCTAAATCAGGTTTCACAAACAGTTATCGAATCGGTCGAGTAATATATCATCGTAGAGGCCTTTGAGATGTGATTTGAACAACGTTAAAAAAAAATTTTGTTTTCGAGAAAAACCGGCTAGTAAAGCGAGCAAGGTCCTATGAAACAAATTTTTTCTTTTAAGGTCTGAAAAATTTGTTTTATTCCACCAGCAATACTAGTTTTGGAAGCTTCATTTTGAAAGCTCCATTAATTATGTAAAAAAAAGTTGAGTTTTCTTGAAGACAACTGTTGTTGATTATGCCTAATTCAATAACTTTCTATGCGTTCAATTAGTTCTCTCATCACAAAACACACAAAAGAAAACATCTTTTATTTGAATCATTTAAAAAAACAGCTTAAAATATCCTAAGTTTTCTAATGAATAATCGGAACTTTCTACTTTCACAAACGGCTATCCTTGTTAGTATTGGCTCTGTCTGTTCTTTAACACGTTGTTTCTTACAAAGTGTTGATACTTTTTAGAAAAATTCGACAACGAATGGTTACTTGCCTTGATTCATCTCTTTTGGAAGGTGTAAATAAACAGAAAACCAATTTCTTCATTCTAGCATATTCGCGAGTTTTTCATTTTTGGTTTTGAAATGTTATTGAAAGTTACTGGATGGCCGAAAAATTTTCAGTGTGCTGAATGTTTTTCAAAGGAAGATAATACAGACGCAGCAGTCTTTTTTTGTGACCAACTAGAAAAGGGCTTAAAACATTCAGTCCCACTTCGAGCAGTTACAAGTTGGAAGAATGTCAGTTACGTTTCCCGTGTGGCTGCAAAACAGCAAGGTTGAAATTGTAGATTCGGAAGAATGGAGGGGCGTCACGGGGGATTTGTTCGATGCAATCCAGCAACAGTTGGCCCAGAGCCACGTGGCTTACTTCACTGATTTGACAGATGCAGAGAAGTCGCTGTTCATGGACAGGGCTGCCAAATCAATTCAACACTGTTAGTATCACAGTGACAAGTTGTCGCTAGTTGTTAGTTTTTCTTAGTGACTGAAAATAATCAACCATTATGCATTGTGAGTGATAGTCAAATAACAAATATAATATGTTGAAATTCGCTTAAAAGTTTCAAAGTCCTGTTGAGAGCCTGATTCGGAAATAACCAAAGCTTAGTGCTAGAGTTTGTTGTCGTCAGCATATTTGACGACTTAAAAATCAGCCCCTAAAATCTACATCTAGGAAATGTAAAAGGTAAACGGTTTACAAAGTTTTTTCCAAATTAGTGTAGTTTTTTTTGCTTGGTGTGATAAAAGAATCTGAGCGAAAAAGTAGAGATTAGGAATTTTAGTCAGTCATTGTAAAATATGCAAATTGGAAAGAAGTTTTTGAAGACAACTAAATCAAAAAATCATAAAAGCATTTTAAAAATTTTAAAGTAATTTTTCAAAATTTTTTAAGTTATTGATTCCTAAGATGAAGCTAAAAACTCCAAAAACTAACTTCATTTGAGTAAAACTTAACTTTCTAGGCTTTAATTAAGCATAAATAAGCTAATGTAAGCCTGCTCACTCGCTCAAACTTAGACAAAAAATCGAAAATTTCAAACCGGTTTTTCTCGACACCGGGAAAACTTTTTTGAAATTTTTTAATGTCGTTCAAATAACGACTTAAAGGGCTTTAATAAAATATATCACTCAACCCAGTCCGATGATTATTTGTAGTAGCAGATTTTGCGTGGAAAACAAATAAAGCCTGTTCGCTTGCTTTATTCGCTCGAACCGGTTTTTTTCAACACTGGGAAAAAATTTTGGAAATTTTTTTAATGTGGTTCGAGTCACAATATGATTTATCGCTCAGCCCAATCCGATTATTATTTTTGGTACCAGATTTTGCTCGGAAAACAAAAACCAAAAAAACTAAAACACACCCGAATGCAAAGTTCCTCCCCATTTTCAATGGTCGGGACATAAGCGGTTGCTGTGCAAGTAGCACAGAGTGTTCCGACCCAACTCCATAAAAATTAAATAAAAAAGCTTTTCCATGTTTTTTTTTTCAATTTGTGTTGTTTTTTTGGTCGTGTAATAAAAGGATTTGACGAAAACCTAGATGTTGGGCATATTGGATACTCACAGTAAAAAAGGTAAATTGCGGAACGGCTTAAGTCAAAAACAAAAGAGAGAAAAAATCAAAAAAATATCAAATTTTTTTTTTCAATTTGCAGATTTTTTTTGAAAATTAGAATGTTTATTGCGAAGATGGCGAAAAAAACTTTATTTTACTAGAGCTTAACTAAACGTTCATGTTTCATCATTCCAAAGTAAGCCTGCTCGCTTGAAATTAGATTAAAAACACGTAAATTTTTAGCCTGTTTTTCTCGACACTGGGACAACTTGAAAATTTTGTAATGTCGCATGAAAATGGGCTGAAAGGGTTTTTCATATGATATATTATTCCAACCCCTGGCATAATTATCCTTGAGATGATTAATTGTGGTAGATGCTTTTGGTTGAAAAACAAGATAAGCCTGCTCGCTCGCTTTACTCGCTCGAAAATAGACGATAAATCAAACATTTCAAACCGGTTTTTCTCGACACTGGGAAAAATTTTGAATGCCGTACGAATATCGACTGAAACAACTTAAATATGTTATATCACTCAACACAGTCCGATGAATATTTGTGATACCTGATTTTGCGAGGAAAACAAAAAACTAAAAAAGAACCCCAATACAAAGTTTCTCCCCAGTTTCAATGGTCGGAACAAAAAAGGGCAACAATGACGTTTTAGGGCACTTTGACATAAAAATAAAACATTTTGTTTCAGCGCGTGCTTCGCCCTCCAGTTTGGTGCACATAGAGGCCAAAGTTGCTTTAAAAAATTGGATAAACTTAAAATCCCCCTAAAGCCTTCTTGAGGGAAGATGTTAATTTGTTTATAGTCTGTATTTTGTAGCCAATCACATGCGAGTAAGCTTAAATCCGATTTAAAAGTGGGGCGAAGGATATTTCGAGGAGAGGATGTTAACTTGATTAACGAATTAATGTTTTCGCCATCAGTGTCATCATTGGGTAGATTTTGTAGTCGTGCAGGTCGGACAGGTCACTGCACTGATTTTGTTTCAGCTGATAACTACAAGCGAATGACGCAGAAAGTGTCTTACACTCTGGACAGGCACTTGAGCAATGAGGTAGCCCGGGAGTTGCTGGAAGAGGATCCAGTGGAGACGAAGCCTGAATTGGTGATTGAGCATGTGAGAGAGGGCGCTGTGTGTCTGCTGAAGAGGTGGCCAGAGATGAAAGGCAAAGTGTTCAGGTGTCTCAATCAGAGACTTCCCAGTAACTTGAGATTCATCACTTGGAAACTGTTTTTGCAGAACACTCTAGGTAGTAAAGCTACTTGATATATTGCTTGATCTCTTTGCTAGTGTCTCAATAGGATTTTGAAGTAAATAAAATGGAGAATTTACGGCTGATTCTTTTTTCGTCTGGAAAAACTAAGCTGTACATTAATAACAAAAAGGGTAATGGAGTTTGTTTTTCAATTACTTCAAATGATTAGTTGAAACTTGGTAAATGAATGCATGCTTGCTCATAAGATTTTTTTACTGAGTAATAAAAAATATTTGCAGTGAAAATTATTCAAACAAAACTAATATGTTTCAGGCATTAGTTTGTGTGGTCAGTACTATGTCAACTATCGAACTGAACTTCTAGAATTTGTTTGATGATTGATGTGTTTAGCTCGCAAGGTGTACTGTGACTTGTTAGCTGAAGACCCTGAAGCAGTGCACAGTGCACACGAGAGGGATATAGTGCACAAGTGCGAGGCACTTCTCACAGCAGTGCCCATATTCGCACGCGCATTCCCAGAAGCCAAGTCCTCGCCAGGTGAGGGAGATTAATAGTAGATTGTACTATAACTTATCGGAGTAGCTGTTTTCCATCTATGCTGTTTTTAAATGCGTGTGACACCTGTATCACCATCTTTATGCTTTTTCAACTTAGCATGTTTAACGGAAGAATTTTTGCATATTTAAGCTTTATCCAACATTGCAATGCTTTAATGTTTTTAAGATTATTGAACGTAGTGAAGACTCTTATATAGGTCTTGCTGAATTTTTGCTGGTTTTTTTTTCAGGAAAATTCTTAAAAGTCTTATAACTACAGATGTGCATTCATACATATTGATGCATTTATGAATGCGCTTAAGTATATATGCACTTCTTGAGTTCATTGGAATTTCATCTGCTGAAAAAGACGTAAATAGCACTCTCCAAAATACGAACGTGGAAATGGCGCGAAAAAACGAGAACGATTTCTAGTTTTGAAAGTGGAATTTTTTTTTAAGATTTCCAGCGGCAATTTGTAGATTTCAAGCATCCGCCAATCATAAATCGTTCTAGAGGTTCAAAGAGCTTTAAGGGCATCTATTTTTTTTCTTTGAAATTCGAAAGTTGATATTTTGACAACAAAGTGAATGTTTTTTTAAAATGTTTGTTTGCGTTCATTACTTTTTTTTAATCTTCGATTGGCTATGTTTTAAGAGTCGATGAACGTAGTTCAGGCTATTAAATAAGCCGCGATGATTTTTTCTTTCGTTTTTTTTTTAGGATAAGTCTTAAAATTTCTTCAGGCTCAAATTGTCTTTTCCACGGTTTGATTTTTGATTAAGTTCAGTTCATTTTATTTGTTTGCACAAGCAAAGCTTGTGTTATAGTATGAACTATCTTTTTTTCCAACCTAAGTCGCAAATGTTGTTGCGACGCAAATTTTGTTGCGATAAAGTGTGTTCATTTTGATCAATAACCAGCTATTAAGTACAGCCAATGCTAAGGATAATAACACAGACTATTGTTGTTTGTAACGAAAGTAATGGAATATTTGTGCTCGGGGTGGTTGATTTTTTATTAGACAAATTTCGACTTTTTAACTAGCAATTTTTGACGAGAATTTTTAAATATCATTCAAAAAGTATTGTTGTCTGAGCTTAAATTAGGAAAGATATTTCACCTGTGATCTTATTTCGGGGGTTTAATGGGGGTTTTATTTCAAGTTTTGGGGTTTTAGTAAGTGCCATTTTGGCCTTTCGCGCTATTAACGCGTAAGCCATTGATAGTGTCTGCAAAGCTTCATCTGTGTCAATTTGGGTTAATTTTAAACATAAAAGCTCCGATCATAGATTTCACTTGCGTTTTTTGACTGTTTTCCAACCGTCTGTTGGCTATGTTTTTACCCTTGCGATAGCAAGGGTGTTGCAATCGGGCACTAGACTTTTTTCCCGTAAATAACTTTGTCCACAGGACTCATCTCTAGTGTACTTCTGGACTCGCTCCCATTTAAATTCTTAGCGTTCCCGGTCGACTTAGCCCGGAGATAACAAATTCGTCTGATATAGCAAATGTCATGGATTCAAATCTGACCGGTACCTGTTTTTCTTAACGGGTTCCATGTTGAAATTGTCGGTTTTTTTTGTCTGCTTTTGTTTTTTCGGCCTAGTTGCCCCATTGTCAAATTGTTTTTGTTTGCTATGCGCACTTTACCTTGTAGTGGCTCTTATTGTTTTGAGTTACTTTTGCTGTTTGTAATTTCTTGACTTGTATGTTTTGATTTTTTTCTGTCCAAATGATTTCCGCTGATATTTTATCGGGTTAGTGACCTATTTTTGAGTCATTTCAAGTGAAACGTAGTTTTTATGCTCGCTGATTCTGGATCGCACATTTTGCCAAAATCTAAATAGAAATTATAGGTCACATTTTTCATGACGACATTATTTTTTCGGCGTTTTTGTGGTTTCTTTTCCTTTTTTCCCGATACTGGTTTCGGCCTATAATTTATTGGTTTAGTGGTCTCATAATGCGTCTGTTGCCCAGCCATAATTGTTGTATCGCGAAGTGTTGCGAAGCTCAGCTTCGTCTGCATTGATTTTTTAATTTATGAATGCTGACTATTTAAATGACCTGAATGCAGAGCTGTAGCTTTGATGCCATCATGGGAGGGACGGAGGAGGGCACTGCAGTTTAGGGTAATGTAAAGGTGGGATTCATCCATCTATGCTTTTTGTAACGTGCGTTTTTCGATTCAGCGCTTATTTCACCAAGTTTGAAGTTAGCTAGCCTATGGTGGGGTGAATCAGCATTTTTTCTCACAGTGTGCGAAATCAGACTCCAAGCATGACCACCCATATCTTTTTAGCAAAAGAAGTATGACGTTTTAAGGTAACTTGAAAAGTTCTCAAAAAACCTACATTAGATGTCATTCACTTAAGAAAACTTGAAGCAACAACCAACTGTAATTGAATGCTTTCAAAGTTTTCTCAGATGGTTCAAGTCTTGTCTCCAAATTTGACTGCTCGGATATTTTCGGCTATGTGACGTTATATGACTTATAATTTTTTTTTTAAATACGGTTGATTTCATAAACTTTACAAAGATTGCAATTCTCAACCCTATAGTTAGGTGCTGTTAAGGTGCTCTCAGTTAATTTCAAGTTTTGGTTTTGAGTTTTGACGGCTTATAACCTGTATAATTTTCGAAGTGTGACTTTTTTATGGTTTTTGGAAGATTTTCGAAAAATAAGATTACTTTCTAATAACCAAACAAATTTTAGATTTGAAAATATTTTACTGAAGTTAGAGTTCTCCATTCCATTCTGGGATGCTCTCAGCGATCTACGAGTATGTTTGGATAATTGACTAGGGAACACTCTTAGTTTCTGAGATATATTATATTCTTGATTTTCCAAAGCTTCTCAAAGTTAAATTTCAAAAAAAAATGCTTCGCATAAATTGAAGTTGTCTAACCTTTGATGACGTGATGTCAGGGTACTCACCGCAGTTGTATTTATAGTCCACTTATGTATGATTGATCAAAATCTTTCAGTTATCAAAAGTTTTTAAAAAGCAGGTTTATAAGAAGTTCCACATTTTAATTTCTCGACCATCCATCCAACTAGTTATCCATCTAACTAGCAATCAATTCAATTAGCCATTTGAATTATACAAGCAGCCATGCATAAATTCAGCCATCCGTTCAACCAGCCATCTAGCTATTCATTCCTTTGTCTATCCTGTCATCCATGCATCCATTGATCCCTATATTCCTCTAGATCAACCCCATACTCCCATCTGGCCATCCAGCCATCCGTCCATCTATGAAACCATCCATTTATTTAGCTATCTGTCGACTTAGCGATTCAGCTATTCATCCTGCCGCCTTCCATCCATCCATGGGTACACCCATCTTAAGCGGTCATCAATCATCCTGCAATCCATCCGGTATTCCATCTACACAGCCAATCATCCTTGATCTAGCCGTCCGTCCATCTAAAAACTTATCCGTCCCGCATCCATCCATCAAGCTATGCAGCCATCTATGCATGCCACCAATCATCCACGCAGTCATCCGTCATCGATCTAGCCATCCATCCAACTAGCCAGCTGTCCGTCCATTCATTCTTCAAACCAGCCATCCATCCACCTGGCAATCCAGGGACAGATTTAGGGGGGGGGGGGGCGGACGCCCCCCCCCCCCTCAGGGATTCGACCCCCTGCCGACCCAAAGGATCCCCCCTTACGTACTTTTTAAGAAATCCATTTTTGACCGACCGACCCTAAAATTTTTCTAAAGGCGCCTTGGGCGCCAATTTATACTAACTTTGAGGGGCAGCGCGCGCCAAAAAAACGCTATTTTTCTGTCAACATTTTCCAAAAAGTGCCCAAAAACGGGAAACAGAAAATTTGGTCTATCTACGGTCTCTATAGTGCTTTAAAAGAGCTCGGAAATCAATTTGGTTGACCTAAAAAAGAAGGTCGTCAAAATTTTTCGAAAATCCGGCCCCCCCTCCTCGAGAAAATCCTAGATCCGCCCCTGTGGCAATCCATCCATTCTGCCATCCATACATCCAACCAGGCATCCAACTATGCTTCAAGCCATTCATCCAAACAACCAGCAGTCTAGCCATCTATACATCCATCTATCCTTACAATCATTAGCTGCTGTGGGCCTGCTAGTTCTTAATAATTGCTTCTGTTATATAGATTCTTAAATTTTTTGTATTCAAGGAGAGACGGGATTCTACGTTGCGAACTTTTGTGGAAATCGTTAAAATTTTGCCTCTGCGAGCGAGTTTCATGATATAACGTTTTTCTTTTTGTGTATAAAAGAAATACAATAGTTTTAAAACTTGAACTAAACTTGTCTTTTCAGCAATTGCGAGTACAATGTCCAAAGTGCTCTCTTATTACCACGCTAAGCTGCGAACCGCCAACAGACTGATAGATGTTCAGTACCTCCTCCTCATCCCCCTGCTTCAAGTGAGCGTGGAAGTGCAGTCTACAGAAAAGGTGGCTAGTCCAGGCTCAGTGGCCAGTCTGGTGGAACAGTACATTACTCTGTTGGAATCGCGACCTTCTTTTGTCCGAGATGCATGGGGAGAGGTGTGTGGTTGCATGATGTTATGGCGCTTTTTGTTGGAAAGCATAGTATTCCCGAAAAAAAGTCGAGGGCTATTTATATTAGCAGGTTTTGCTTTAAAATTAATTAAATAAAATTGAATCTCTTCATCATCTATCACATGAAAGAAATCCTTATCAATCTATAATAATCGTAGCTTTGTTACACCAGGCGACGACAGGGGTGAAGCTGCAGGAGTTCTGCAAGGGTGTGGGAGAGGAGTTGAGGAAGATAGACTCCAGCCTCACTGACTATATCTCGTCGCTCTACTCGCAGGAGAAAGTGAACGACACTACGAAACCAGACTCAGCTAACGAAGTGCTCACTGCTTCTCTGAAGGCCATGCTAAAGCCGCTGATACGGAGTATGTTTGTCGGTGAGTGAAGTTCCACGAGATTTAAGAAGCTATCAGTGCTTCTCCATTGATTGCTATTATTGTTTTGTCCCGGATAGGTTGCCATCTGTAGGTTAGCGTAATTTAATTCGATTTAAGTCCAACGCGCGGGAGCTTCGAATACTTTTAAATGGACCCTTCTATCATTAAAAGCGTCATGTGGCCTCTAGATTGTAAATAGCTACAAAGATTTGGCAAATATTTTTTATTCGAACAGATTTTGAATCAATATTTGCGTTGTCAACTTAAAATGAAGTTAACGGAAGCCTTGCAGTGGGCGAGAATGTAGTGTCTTAAGTTTTGTAGACTGTTTCCCTTCAACTTTAATTTCCATGTGTTCATATTTAGGCTTCCTGGAGTGTGAGGTGGTATTGTACATGTGGGATCAGTGGCTGATGGGGTTGGATGTGGGGGGAGACTACGATGTGTGGACTCCCCTCGCCACCCTCACCCTCCTTCTCATGAAGGAGCCACTCATGCGAGCCACTAATGTTAGTTACCATTTGTGATCGAAATAGCTCTAAACCCAAGAATAAGAAATGGCCAGAGGTATGAGGCCCAAGCGAAGTATTACTTCTTGTCTCATGGCTTAAACAATCCAAACGTTCATTCAGTATGATAGAATTTCAAACTCAATGTAGCAAATGTTTTAGTTTCAGGCTATCATTGACTAATTTTTTAAAACATTTCAGTCGCAGCAGCTGGAGGAGGTGACTCAGAGGCAGACTATTCTTCTGACTGTCGACAATTATCAATATGAAGTAAGTAGCAGTTTCTCAGGCTCCTTATTATCGAAATATTAGAAGAGTTGAATTTGAATTTGTTTTAGTTCCATAAACATTTCTACAAGCCCCTCTACCAGAAGCTGAACGAGAAGTATAGCCATGAAGCACCTGTGGTCGACCCCCTGTCGAGTAAGTTGAATAGAAGTACTCTTTCGTTATATTTGAGAGGGTCTCCTAAAAATCTTTTCATGAATTTAATTATCCGATGCCCATGATTTTTGTTGGTGAAAATTGCCTTTTTTTGATAAGCCACATCAACTACGGAAGCCTAAGCTAATGAATGAACACAAAGGGTTAAATTCTTGTCATTGCAGCTCTAGGTCTTCCCGCTCCCTGGATCCACTGGACTAAGGAAGTTCTTCCAGAGAGGAAGCGAGTGGAGGACAGGCGGCTGGCGAGGGAACAGAGAGCGGCATTCAAACTGCGCCAGCTGAGAAACGAGAGAGAACAGCAGGCTGCAAACCAGAGACACGAACTCCCGCCCGCTGGAGCTTTGGACCCCAAGTTAGTTGGCATCTCACCACTCAGGGAATATCTAAGTGGTTAGATTCACATATCGATCCTATTTTCAGGACAAGAATATATTGATAAACTGGAAGATAATTCATGAAGAAATTCAGAAGGCTCAATGTTAATTCTTTACAATGGAAATTAAAAAATTTTAACTCAGTTCAGAAATGCAAGTTTTTCTGCTAATTGATCGCGATGCCAAAATTATAATAGACAATCTCTGAGAAGATTTATTGAGGTTGGATCCTTTTAGTGTTCAAAAAAATCGATGAGATGGTTCTGCTGCCTCTGTAAATTTGAACATTTTTGAAAAAGTGTTGTTTAATGTGTTGTGTAGTCTGGACAAGAGCAACCTGGCGAAGGCGGAGGCGGACAAGCGACTGTTAAGTGAAGATAGAGTGTATTTGGAGCAGAGACTGAACGAGGAGACTGAGAAGAGAGAGCAGGTGGAGAGAAGGGCTAGGGAGGAGATCGCACAGCTGCAGTCAGAGCTGAACAGACTGCGTAGAAATAACCAGGTGAGAAGAGGAGAACATGTGTCTATCATTACGCAAGCGAAGAGTAGTACCATATACCGAAAGCCACCTTTTTGCTCGAACTCTATTTAAAGTATTCACTTAATCGGTTGCTGTACAGCTTTTGTTCATGAACATGTGATTGATATCCGCTTATTTGGTGGAAATTTCCTCTTTGATAAAAATAGGTATTAAGCTGAAATTGTCATGGCCTTTTCGCAGAATTTTATTCATTATGGTGGTGCAAGTGGAGTACGGCTATTCCACTCTGTGTCTGCATAATACGCTAGTCTCTTTTTACCTGAGCTCGCGTTCTAAGTCATTCGAAATTTTCAATTGGGAATTTTTAACCTTTTTTGGAATTATTTCTTTTTCGCAATTTACCCTGCCAAATCTAAGAATTCAGTTAAAAGAACAGGTGGTAGGAATTATTTCTGTAAAATGGTTTTGTACGCCCTAGTTTTAGTCTAAAAAAAAGTTTTAGCCTTAGGAAAAGGTCATTTTTGTCATTAAGCTATTTTTGTTATACTTTTCCCCTTTTCAAGAGTCGATGAACGTATTTCAGACTCTTATGTAGGTCGTGATGATTTTTTTAAGGCTCAAATTCACTTTTTCGTGGTTTGACCTTTGAGGAAAACTCCGCTGTGTTTTGAAATAGATTGATTGAATGATTTTTTTGGATCTTGTTAACTATTTCCCCCTTTTGGACCTTGCTAACTATCCCCCCCTATGCGTGTATTATTTTTGACATACATTTCTTTATAAAATATGCATTTCAAAAATGTCAAAAATTAATTGGCTTCTTATTTTCGCGCGTTCGTATTTGTATTAGCTACTATTTATATAGTACCTACATAAAAAATTTATAATATTTTTTTTTCGGAAAATTGTCTTAAGCTATTGAAAATGTTCGACCAAGATTCGATTTTTTTCCACTTTCTGATATGTTTGTACGAATACTTACTGTATAACAGATGGCGCGACACTTCGTTTCCGCCTCTGTGATTCGTATGCTTTCAGCAATTGAATTCACTCAATATGAACAACTTAAAGATTTTCGACGAATTTAGTCAGTGACTCATAGTGCTCTAGGACAAGATCGATTAATTTTAGCCCGCGGAGTAGTTTATAACAGATCGCATTGATTGGGTACGTTTAGCGTGCTCAGCCATGTATCCGGTATTCCTTCTGTAAGACTTCGTGCTGTGGCGCAAAATCGTTGCCGTTTTCTATTTGTCCGGAGCTACTTCCAGTTTTTTGTTTGGAATGTGAATTGAACTCAAATAAAAAAATTAGAAGATCGAGATTTAACTAGCTATTTTTTTCGTGAAGCCGGAGCCTGAAATTCCAGTTACTAAGGTGGATACTCCTGTATCTATGAAAAAAGCACCAGGCCTTGACTCTATGACCAAAATGGACACTCCTGCCCCTGTGAACAAACTGCCAACCATTGATTCCATGAACGAAAATGATCCCGAGACCAATGCCAGGGCTAATTCCCAAGCGGGAAATCAGACCCTTATTGGCGAAGCCCTCAGTGAAAAAGAGGCTGCCATTGGAAATGTATGTTAAGCGTGAATGAGTGAAATCATCTGAATGGGTTTTGTAATGGAATTCTCAGATGACTTAAAAATTGTAGTTTCAATTTTATCATCTACAGTAATCGGTAAATGGAAGCCTAATTTGGCTTAACTTAGTACATGCTTCTAGGTCAACTGATTCAAGCTGTAACAAAAATGCATACTTTTAGCAATCGCCAGATAACCCACCGGGCGGTAACGTAATCGCCCCGGACAACCAGTCCTTAAGCTCCCCCTCAAGAATGAGGTCAGTTTAAACACAGTAACAGAATATTATTTTCCAAAATTAACAAACAACTAACCACAAATTGTCTCTTTGCAGCTTCGGATTCCCACCATCGACTCCACAAAATAACTAACACTAAAACTTTCGCTAGTGTGTTGCGTGTTTCATAAAACTGCTGTTTTCGCCCTATTTTTGAATCATAACCCGTTTGAATCTTGGTAGTCTGTATTTATCCGAAAGAACATTTTATCTACCAGGGACTTGTCTTTGATATGAATTGAGCCACCAAAATCGAAAGATAATTTTCGCACAGCTGCACTAAATCACTGTCAAGGAAACGTATAGAAAATGTTCATTGGAACATAAGAACATTTTTGCAGTGAGGTGACAATGATGACAGGGTTCCATGCTCCTTCCAACTCAGTGAGAGGAACAGACCAGCCAAAGAGTCCCATCGAGGCATTGTCTCTATTTCTGCAAAACTTCACCAGAGACATCTCACAAGGTTGGCTCTTGTTTCCGAATTAGTAATTAAGGGTCAATTTTTGGCATCTAGATATTTCAAGATGACTTACGTAAAGTTGAAACATGAGTTTGTGATCGTTTATCCCGTGAAATAATGTCTGATCCTGTTGCTAGCTATGTTCCGAAATTGAATAGTTGCTCATTATCTTCGAATTCTTGAGAGCAAAAGAAAATAACTTAATGCTTCCCTTTTGCAGTGACTGGAGGTAACGTGGGAGATCTTGACGTCAGCACTAACCTCTACCTTAGTAACTACGAGGATCTGAGAAGACAGGCGGAGAAAGACATTATGGGTCACGTGATGCAGGACTACGATTGGGCACTGTACACAGAGAGCGACCAGAAGAGGTACAGAGAGGACATACAGAGACTAACCGAGACCAGTTTCGAGAAAACATATTTAGACGCTATGAACTCGTGATCTAACAAGCAATACTCAGTAAACTAGAGAAATTAGGCGAATCTTAATCAAGTTGACATGGTGGTTTTGTACATAAAACTATTTTTTGACGCATCAAAACTGTAGATTGTAAAATTGTAGATAAATATGAAATACCATCTTTTTATTTAGTATGTGTTTATTGTGAGCGTAAAAACAGAAAAATTCTTTGATGTTCACCCTCAAATTTGATTTTTTTTTGCTGTTTGAATTTCAATTTTTCTAGTTCAATTCAAATTCATACGCTCTCGAAAGTTCAAATGGCACAAAAAACGCGAATTACTTCTGGTTTCAATAATGGATTGTCATTTACGAATTCCCAGTAAAAAAAAACGAAATCCCACTGAGTTATACGAAATCCCACTGGTTTATTTTCCCCTAGAAACTCGTGGTCATTTTTCGGCCTCATTAATATCATAGATGGCTTGCTTTGTAATCGAATCAGCCACTTTCACGCCTCTGACAGAAACTACAACCCTGATTGTTTCGATAGAGGTCTTTACTGTCTCTTTTTACTGACTGATTATTTTCTACCAGATTTTTTTCTTATGGTGATAGTAAATTAGTTCTGATCAAAGTTTTTTGGCCGATATTTTTGGAAAGCTATCAGTTGTGCTCTAATATGGTTTCACAAATGATTCGTACTTTTGAATCGACTTTGGCAATCGAGTTTATCGGAAATTGAAACGAGCTCGAAAGTTCGCGTATACTTATATTTGAAAATCGCATGTGATGCAAAGCTAAACTTGACATCGATCGCATTTGGTTAATGGAGGACCAATACGCTCTGAAAATACAAAAAGTGAAACTAGTGGTTATTAGTGCGAAATGTAAAAAATTTTCTGACGGCCTGTATTCAAGTTGAATTTGGTTCATCAAATTAAATTAAAAGAAGGATAAATAAATGTGCTTTTAAGATTCAATGAACGTAGTTCAGTCTCTTATATAGGTCGCTATGATTTTTTCCGTTTTTTTTAGGAAAAGTCATGAAATTTGTTCAGGCTCAAAGTTACTCGTTCGCCGTTTGACTTAGGATCAATTTTAAAGTTCAGTTCATTTTCTTTGTGAAAAGTAAGGCAAATTCCACTATCGAACAGCAGAAATTTTACCTATTTACCCAGTTTTCTCAAATTGGGTGAATTTTATCAAAACAGTTTGTTGTTCTAGGAATTCAAAGAGATTTAAAGCCATCTAAATTTGGATGCTGGGATTTTTTCTGGGATCCGGGGGTATGTTTATTTTTCCTGTTACTTACGTTCATTGACTTTTTTCCAACTGTTTTTGGCTATCTTTTTCTGACAAGGGCTTAATTTATAGCCAACTCCTAATTTTTGACAAAAGTGAACATTTCTTCGTATAAAGTTTCTGAAAGGTTTTAATTTTGAGCGAAAAACAGTAATATATCAGCTATCATAAGGTTGCGTTTTTTAAACAAAAGGGGATCGTGTTTGCTATCCGACGTGAAACTTTCTTTGGTAACACGGATTTTTCTGTGCTATCAGGAAAACATGCGATTTTTGTAATGAAAAATATCTATTATTGTTACAATAGTTTGCAATATTCCGATTTGTTTTTTTTTGGTAAAACTTAAGTAAAACTATTCATCATTTTATAGTGCGTTCAGTCGGCAAGATTCTGGATCAGCAACACCAATTAAAGCCATTTTCCCGTTCTTTATTTGAAGATCTATAGATATTTGTTTTCAATTTTTTTCCGATACAATAAGATCTGTTTTTAGGTTTGAAGCAATAAGATGTTTTTGTGTTCCAACCATTGCTTATTTTTTAAAAAATAATTGACGTTTGTTAAGAAAAAAAAATCGCTAAAAAAGTTATAATAATTAATGTGAGTTCATCAAACAGAACTTTTGGTCTTTAAACAGACCAGTAGGCTGAATCTTGTATTTGTTACTTGAATTACATACTCATTTTTTATGAAACTGATTTTTGATGAGCTTGAATAGTAGTTGTACAACGGCTCGTTAATTGACCAAAAGGCAAGCCTGCGCTAGACAAAATTAGAATGAGCAAAAAATTTGGTTGAATAAACAAACTAACTGTTGTAATACTAATGGTAAAAGTTTTTAAAGAGACTTTTTTTAATTTGGCGCTTTGCTTTGTTTTTTTTTGCTTCCTTGTCCTCAAAATTGTGTTATAATTTCCTTTACGAGAAGATCTAGTTTTTCTTCTTTTTTCTGTTTTGCAAAAAAAAAGATGTGGTGTGACCAGTAAGAAAAAATCCGCGTAAAGTTGAAAATACTCGAATGTGATTGGCTGAAAAAGATATCAAGTGTAATTTTGAAGTAGTTACTCAAAATTTTATAGAAAATTTTTTTAAGAAACGACCAAATTCGTTCAAAATCATTTGATAAATGAGATAATGTTATTAATCACCCTTGAGATAATAGAAGGTATAGCAATCTTTTTCCCCGTTAATCTTGGGATCGAATCTGACCAGGACCTGTTTTTCTTTCAAACGGGAAACATTCTGATTCGAAATGAAAATGTCGGCCAATTAATCGTCTGCTTATCTGTATTTGGTTTCACTGATTTTATTTTATTCGCATACTTTAGTCACATATGATTTCACTTTTTTTGCAAAATTTTTGGTTTTTCTTAAGCTTTCATAAAAAGGAATCATTTGAAAGGCCGTTTACTTTCTTGTGTGCTTGCATACTCTCGTAGAGTCTGTTTTTACTTGAACCTTTTGTCTTTTGACCTCGAAAAATCTGTGGGGGAATATCGGACTGATATTTAAAAAACTTTTCAAATATTTTTTCGAAAACTATCCCTCCGAAACCTAAATTATTGGTCTCAATTATTAGAATGGTCTTGAAAAGCTCCCTGCATAAGCGGCTACTCTCAAAGTTTTTTTTCACAAATAAAGTTTTTTACACATTTCTTACACAAATTTATTTTCTCATTTTTTTCTGGAGAACAACTAGCCTCTCATATCTGATATTATTGGTTCAATGAAAATAGCGAGTAGTGGGAAGCTCCCTTGATTATTTACAGAAAAAAATATCGTTCACTGAAAAACAACTGTTTGATTTTTTTGACCGTTTTTTCAAACTTTTGAATGTTTGCTCCCGAAAACCACCCTGCCATACCTGTGATTTTTGGTTTAGTTCAAAGAACGAGTTCTGGAAGCTCATTTGCTTATTCGACTACGCCCAAATTTTTGTGACACCCAAAGTTATGGCCCTCGGAAAGTCAAAGTTTTTATTTTAATACCCTAATTTTGAAAAAAAAAAGTTTTTAGATTTTCTCAAAAACCACTCTCCCAAATCTGAGACTTTGGATTCATTTGAAATTACAGGCTGCATTAATATCCTCTGCACAAGCGGCTACCCTATACTTTTTACGCAAAAAGCTATGGTTCTGTGAAATTTCAGATTTTTAATCTGATAACCGGTTTTTGAACTTTACAAGCTAGCTAACCTGCCGAATCAGCTATCATAGGTAACATGTTGTAATCGAAACAACGTGTTGTTGAAATCATACTTTTTTTTTACTATGTCCGGTTTGTTTGGAAAAAGCTACATCCTTCAAACAAGTCAAAATTTTGAAAACTTGATAGGTTTTCCGAAGCTTTTTGACTTTAGCGAAACCTACCGTTCCAATTCTTAGGTTGTGTTCAATCGAGAAACTGGTTCTGGGAATCTTCTCTGCTTAAACCGGTTCTGTAAATCTTCTCTCCCACAATGAGTTTTTTTTCGCAGAACAATTTATCGTTTTTCGAAATTCTTTTAACATTATTTAGAAACGTTTTGAATTCTCTTAAAATTTAATTAATCAAATCTGCGATGAGAAGTTAAATTGACAGAACCGGTTGCAATAAATACTCCTGCGGAAACGGCTACTCCTTAGTGTTTTTAGGAGAATGGTTATTTCCTTGGGACAATTTATTATTTCATAATTTTCTACTCTCTCACTTATTTTAATAGAGAAACAAATAAGGTTTTGGAAAAAATTTCTAATATTTTTTGGAGAAACGTTTAAGGGTTTTTGAAAATCAACTTTTCATGTGTTCATGAAAAATTTGGTTAACCTAGTTTTTTTTCAAGGTTTAAACTTTTTTTCGACTGATGTTATTTTTATGTTTGTGTTGTATCACAAGTGGTGAAGTTCCGCTCTGATTTCCGCTCTGAAATAAGATAATGGTTCATGTTTTCTGCTTACGTTGTTGTCTTCTCACTGCTAGGTAAAAGAAATACATTCATATGCTACAAATGTGTCTCGTGTGATTTGATAGTTGCTAGGTTCAATTATGCATGTTAGGTTTACTGATTTGATCCATGTCTTTGTGTATCACTGATACATCGTTTTATTGATCCATCCAATTTTCATCTTAGTTTGATATTTTTTCGACTCTGCCCAAGTGTAAATCAACCAATGTCAGAATCGTTTGTCTTTTATAGAAGAATCTATTTTTTTTTCGGAGTTGAAAAAAATTTAGCTTAAAAATTTTACTGGCAGTGACCTTTTACATCATTTTCACGTAGAAAATATGAGTAGTTTTGTATCGTGTCCCGGATCCTAAGGGGGGGGGGGGGGTCCTTCCTAAGGGGGAGGGGGGTCCTCACGTAAAAGCAAAATCCTAGGAAAGGGTTCCTTAATTTTCTGCAAGACCCTTATCCTAAGATTTTGTAAACTAAAGAAATTTTCTTCCACCCAAAAGCAGAAGACCCCCTACTTAGGATCTTGCTAAGCTTAGCTTAACAACAAGGGACACGATACAAAGTTCTTTCTAATTCCAATTTTTGGGGTCCTAATTTTTGGTCCTGGTTAATTATATGAATCATATTAATTGTTATATTTGTTTGGGGCAAATGAATGTTCGACCTAGTTGAAATTTGTTAGTGAACGGGGAATTGACTTTTATGGTATATAATAAAAATTCGCCGGCGATTTTGTCAGCGTAGCTTAACTGTTGACAGCAGTAAATTAATTCCTTAACGTGACCTATATTTTATAGTGAAAAGGCAGTAAATTGAAACTTTTATCCAAAGGCGGCGGCCGTTTCTGGGCAAAATATACCAAATGAAAACTTTGTCAAATTTTGAAAAAAGAAAAATGAAGTTGGAGGGAACTTGGTCTAATTTCAATAAACTATCAAAACTCGAACAAAATGCTTTAAAAAATTGATTAACAAATTTTTTACACGGTCTCCATTG